GTCCTCTTCATTTCTTCAAAAAAAATATTCTTCAATGCTACTTCATACCCAAACTCTCAACAAGTTCTTCAAACTCCCTCAAGGCCAACCTCAAGTCCTCCTCCTTATGCTCCAACTCCTAAGGCTTCATCATCACCACCAACCTCTCCCAACCCAAGCTCATAGCCATATGCTCCAATTCTAGAGAAGTTTGTGCCACATAGTTTTACTTCTAGATCATCAAGGATAGTTGATCTCAAGATCCTACCATGTACCTCCCTTTGATTAATGTACTTTAAAGCTTCAAGCAAGATTGGTGTATTCTTCTACCCAAGGTCCAAGCTCCAACCTCAACATCCAAGCTTGGAGGTTTCTCTTCATTCAACAAACATTATCTACAAGTCAACATTCAAGATCAACTTCTCAACATTCAAGCTTTGAGGTTCTTCATTAACAACTAAGACAACATTTAAGCTTGAAGTGAAGATCAACTTCTACAACATAATAGTAAGAACTCTTTTCAAGTAAGTGGTTATCCCTTCCTCTCATTTTTCACCAAGTTTCTTTTACATCAAAGTTCATTTGCTATTATCAAGTTGTTTTATATTCAAGCTCTTTCCATAATAATCAAGTTCTTATTCTCAAGTTCGTTACAAGTTCCTTTCAAGTATCTTTCAAGCCCTTTACCTTTTCTTCAATACTTTCTTTTAAGCCAATCTTGTTTGGTCCCTTTTACCTTCTCCTTCAAAACTTTCTTCATTCTTAATTACTCCATACTTCAAGATTTCCTTTCAACTTGTTTTTGCTTTTCAACTTGGTTTTACTTTGATCTTACATTTTCTTTCTAGGTGTTTTCTTTCTTTCTCCTTACCATTTACCCTCCCTCGTCTATAACTTCAATTTCAAGAGTTTCCTCATGAATGGTTTATTCGGGTCAGGTTTCGAGCCGCCCCGCCCACGCCCCTGAGCTCTCCACGCGCGAAACTGTACAAACGTACGGAAGAGGTATTGCCAGGCATAATGAAGCGGCGATCTGTAAGTAGAAACTAGGTACATCTTGTAATAAGTTTTTATAATAGGAGTTAGTAGCCGTACGCTGTCTTTTGTGGTATATTATTTCTAGTAAACGTTGGCCAAATGCTTGGCTGATACGTATCAGGATGCTATATGTATATGTATATATATGTGAATATATGTTTTCAATGGGTTCAATTTAAAGACCCTAATACCTACCGGAAATGTCGATAGTTACAGGCAGCTGTAGATTTACCACGTGAGAACTGTATCATTTGAACAAATCACTCTACACCTATACAGCCCTGGATGAAACTCCTTCCTTACCCCTCTTGATTATGTAAGGTCTTCTTAAGCTTCCCAGTACCGTAAGAAGTATTTGTTACCAAGTAGGTAGCGATTTGCGCAAACTAATAATTTTCCAGAACAATTTTATACCATCACTATGCAGCAGCTGGTGCCATAAACACCAGCCAAGTCTAATTGCTACGGTAGTCCTCCATATATGGTATGGCTCATCGGTCAATAGCCTTCATGGACTTTTACATAGCAGTTGTTGTTCTTTATCATCCCATCCACCTCCCTCTCCAGCCCCGTATAGCTAGTCACCACCGTCACCTCAGCTCCAGACAACTGGGGGTAAATCCTCTGATACGCCTTGCCTTTCACCTCTTGGCCTTCACGAAAGTAGATTATATTCCGGCCACCAAAGAAGCTCCCCACTATGCTGCCTTCTCCCCGTACACTCACGAAACACGCGCTGCGCGCAAACATCCTGAAATGCACATCGTTGAAGCTCAATTCTGGCCACCTGTTTTGAAGGCCCTGCAGGATCTGCAACCATGGATTATTCCCAAACCGCTCCTGCAGTGCCTCGTAGTCTCCCAGGCCGTTTCCATCCAAAATTGCCCGCCGAGAGTCTCTCTGCAGTGACCCCAGGTTACTGTACACCACATAAAATCCCGCCTCTAAATACGCGTCAACTATTCCCATTAGGGTAGGCAAATCGATGAAATTCACTGGTGAATGGCCCCACTCCCGCTCGTATTTATTCCCAATAACCACCAGCCGGGATCCCTTGGGAATCTCCGGCCACACAGGGGGAAGCTTCCTGAAGTGCTGGGCAAGAGGGGGCGGCTGCCAGACTGGCGGGATGCGACTATAATGAATGCCATGACTAAAACCGTATGCAGCGACATTGTTCTTCATGGCACTTCGATGACACGTGGCGTCATCTCTGTGGTTGGGGCTGAAATAGTAGATTGAGGCCAAGGAATGCCGCCCGCACGAGGTGGTGGAGCGGAGGGAGCCGCGGAGATGGTGCCAGTAGGCGAATGGGAGGACGGCGATCAGCTCGTACCCAAACTCGCCCTGAAAGAATATGTCCACTCCACCCGTGCCACCCGTGCCATCCTGGGATAGCGAGGCATGTTGTGGTTGATTGGGGGGTTTGGGGGGTTGTGGTGGATGGCTTGCGTGGCTCTGATGCACTGCTGCTTCGTCTGCTACTGTTTCTGCCGTCCCTACTGCTTTTGCAGTTCTGGTTTCTACCGCTGCGGCTGTTGCGATCGCAATTGCTGCTGCATCACCTACTCTCCCTTTCCCCTCCGCCGCTACCCCATCCACCAGCTCCCCCCGCTCTCCTCCCCCCCTCTCCACTCCTCCGCTTCCCCCAACCCAGTTCCCCCCATCTCCACCCCTCCGTTTCCGTGCTACTACTGTATCAAAATACAGCCTCGTCCTTATTAATTCCGCATTTTCTCCCGGCAGTTCCCCCGCACGGCATCCCCAAATGCGCCAACGCGCGGCACGGGTGCTTCCGCCGTAGCCCAATGCTCTGCGGCGGAGGGGGGCTTGGCGCTGCAGGAGTGTGTCGGGCGCGTAGGCGGGAGTATGGACCGCGGAGTCTATCCCTGAAGGGGGCGGCACGTGGGGAAGACGGGAAGATGGCGATTGCGATGGGGAGGAAGCCTTGACGGGAAGGGAGGCAGGACTCCGGGGATAATTTTGGGACACCAACGTTTTGCTTTGGAAGCAGCAGCGAAGAGAAATGGGGAAGGTAAGACACGTAGAGAGGTTAGGAGAAGCAACAGCGGAGAGCGTTAAGGGGAAGCAACAGCGGAGAGGATTGGGGGGAAGCAACAGCGGAGAGGAATGGGGGGAAGCAACAGCGGAGAGGAATGGGGGGAAGCAACAGCGGAGAGAGATCGAGGAAGCAAATCAGTGGAGGTTTGTGTCCCGAGATACGTTCTCCGGGATTCGTGTTCCAAGGTTCGTGGTCTGGGATTCGTGCTCCAAGATTAGCGCTTTCGCGAGCGCGAGTCACTGATGGGGAGCGAGGCGGTAGCATGCGGGCCTGGCTTGGGAATGCATCACCACCGCGCACTCACACGCGGGTTGGGCGACGTCGCGCGGCGGATGGTCCTCGCAGGGCAGCGGCGGGCCTGGCGCGGCTGGTGAGTGCGAACAGGGGGCGCGGGGCGGGGAGGACAGGGCGGACAGGGCGGACAGCGCGGACAGGGCGGACAGCGCGGACAGGGTGGGTGGGTGGAGAGACGAAGCGTGGTGCTCGGAGAGTTGAATGGGGGGAAGGTATGTGGTGAAAAGTTACTAACACTGGATGAAGAAACGCAAGTGATGGAAAAAGTCGTCTCGTGTTCTGTCAGCGCAAAATGAGCGAGATGGGATCCCCGAAGCAGTCTTTCAAAGACCTGAATTTCAGGTTAAAAAGGAATGAAAAGAGCGTGATTTGCGGGGATGACGACCGCGGGAGAAGTACGGAGAAAGAGGAAGGCGTTACTACTATATACCCGAGAAGGATATTATAGCAAATAGAGAAGCAGCGACGACCACCAGCGTCAGCCACCAGAGCAGCCGCTTCGCGCCTCCGCGTGGCACCAGTTCCGGCTCGACACTGTTAGCATCCCAGCACCGCTTGGAACAGCGCGCTCCAAAATTTACCGTACGCTCCATGCTAGGAATAGGAATGTTTTTTAGAGTCACACGGACGATGCGTGGAGGAAAGCAATCTGGAAATTTCAAAATGCAGCTTTGCGTTGCGCAACGGTTGAGCTGTGATGGAGCACAGCATTTCAGAAGTGTTGCCTGCACGATGGGAGACGAGAGGCGAAGGGAAGGTGTTTTGTACGTAGGAGGGACGGCATTTCTGACAATTCAATCCCAAGAGCGGGGGCGCGGAGACTCGGCGACGCGAAAAAAACTCTGACATCACAGAAGTGTTCGTAAGCACATTTCACCATGCGTCACCGAAGAATCTTCCTCTGCACCGATGTTTTTTGCAGCCGATCTGGCCAAGGCTCATGCCGTTCGCGATTCGCAATGGTATGGCTGATGCGAGGTCCTTGCGACATCTTGCGATCACTGCGATTTTTCCAGGACCGTTGTTTGTGAAGACTGAGCGAGTCTACTCTACTCTCAAGGCCTGTTGATTTGCGGTACTCGTCGCCAAAGAAGGGAACTGTAGTATTTGAATGAACCACACTACACTTCGTGCAATAAAAGTCCAATCCCTTCTTGCAATGCTGATCTAACCACAAATGACAAATAGACTTACTGAATATGACATAAGATAATGCGATACAATACATAAACATGAATACGTAGCAGCTGGTGTCGAGGACCTGCAATCCTCCTCCAAATTCCGTCCACAGAGGGTATTCTGTAGCCTTGTTACCAGCAAAGAGGCTCGAAAATGGGCCGGTTTGCTGGAAACAAGCGAAGAGGCGGAGGATGGAAGGTCCACGCACAGCCTGCCTGCACCAAACAAAGACAAACCTAAAAGCAAGAAAAGGAAGGACAAAGAAACATCCAAGCAGCATATGGTGTGCTACGGCACGTCAGGCACACCCATTCCTCTGTTGTCGGAAACGCCTGCAGACGACTTGCTATGCCACCGAAGGCACGCCCTTTCCACTGCCACTGTAACGATGGTTGCTACAAACGCATGTGTGTCACGTGGCAGACCGCGAGGCAACGTGGCAAGTCAGTCAGGCACGGTTATTCCCAGGCGAGACCGCGGAGTGGCCGATGAAGGTGACCAGGTGAGCCATCAGCTTGTCCTTGCGGCTGCAAGGGGGGGAGGGGGAGGGGGGGAGTTCAAGGAGATCCACAGGGGAAGGCGAGGGAAAGGAAGGAACAAAGGATTACTCAAGGAAAGGGAGTGAGGTAGGCAAACCGGAGGACACAAGAAAGTAATGACTGAACATTGGAAGTAAACAGATGGCAGCAGACAGTACAACAAAGACACAGGTTACTAGTCAGCCGCCAAATGAGGCGCCGTCAAAATGCACACCTGAATCGAGAGCCGCAGGAGCAGGTCCAGCTGGTGAGGCCGCAGTGCTTCTCATGCGTGCGCAGATCCGCCAGCACTGCAAAGCGCTTGGCACCGCCACAGCGCGAGCACGCGAGCAGCTTGGGGCAGTGCGAGCGGCGGTAGTGGTTGCGCACACACAGCACCGTCTTGAGCGGCTGGAAGGCCACGTGCTCCCGGTGCCGCTTGCACCCCGCCACAGGGCAGCTGAAGCGGCATTGCGCCGGGTCCACGGGGGGCGATGGGGAGGAGGAGAAGGAAGGAGGAGACGCTGCTGGGTGCATGGGGGCCATGTGGCCGTGTGCCTTGATGTGCATGCGCAGGTTGGCCTCGCGCTTAAAGCCCTTGCCGCAGGCGTCGCAGAAGTGCATCTGGTCGTTGGTCAGCTCTGCCACCCGCAGCTCCACTATCATCCACTCGCCCATGCGCACACCTTCCGCTCCCCACCCCGCCCTGCCGCCGCTGCTTGCTGCCGCTGCCTCCTCGTCGCTGTCGCTCGCAGTGGTGGTGTCTGCCGACCCTGCTGCTGCCTTGGAGCCAGTGCAGCCATCTCCCATGGACTCTCCTGCCGATGCTGCTCCTGGCGCAACCTCTGATGCTGTGCCAGATGCTGACCGGGATGCTGTCTCAAGGGTTATGGTTGGTGCTTCGTCTTCCCCAAAGGCATCAGCTGCCTGATCATCCACCACCTTAGCTTGCTTCAGCGGCCCCTCCCCCGCCGCAGTCCCCATTTCACCATCAACATCCCTCCCTCTCTTGCTTCCTCCCGCTCTTCCCTGCTCTCCCTCGTCCCTTCCCTCGTCTCTTGCCTCAGCGTCGGCTTCCCCCGTGCTGGCGCCGGGCCCGGATGCTGCAGCGGAAACGGGAGAAGCGAGGGGAGGGGGAGGGTGGGGAAGGGGAGGGGCGGCAGTAGGCCCCGCAAGAGGGACAGCAGGCGCAAGCGGAGCAGGCGGAGGCGCGGCTGAAGGAGAAGCGGCATCGGGTGCAAACATAGCGACAGCAGGAGGCGGAGGAGAGGGAGCGGTGGGAAGCGCTAGTGGCTTCTGCTGCTGCTGCTGCTGTTGCTCCTGCAGCTGCAGCGCTTGCGCCAGCGCCATCATCATCGCCTCCTGCATGTGTGGCTGCTGCCCCCCTTCCGCCTCCGCTTGCCCCTGCGCCTCCGCCTCGTCCTGCTGTTTCTCCGCGGACTGATCCGCGCTCCCCAGCTCCGCGTGCTGTAGCGCCGACCGCTCCTTCTCCGCGCGCATCTGTTCCGCGCGCAACACCCCCGCGATGTCGGGCAGCAGAAGCTGCGCCTGCAGGCGCGGCGGAAGCAGCCCCACGGCGGCGAGCGCCACCTGCTGAATCACCGCCGCCACGCCCACCGCCGCCGCCTCCTGCTGCTCGCGCACGGCGGGGGCGGGGCCGCTCTGCGCCACCAGCGGAATCAGCAGCTGCAGCGCGGCGATCTTGCCCTGGAGCGACCCCAGTGCTGACATCAGCGATGCAGGGGACACGTTAGTGGCTGACGTGGCAGAGGGAGTGAACCACGCTGATGGCACGTGGGCGCCACATTCCGTGGTTTGGATGCCCGTGCCGTGCGGGGAAGCAGCGGAAGGCGGCGGGCCCGTAAAGGAAGCGGACGGCGGAAGAGTCAGCAGGGGGATTGCGGGCGCAAGGCCAGCGGGGCCAAAAGATGCGCCAGTGGCGCAAGCGCTGGTTGCTGCGAAAGGGGTCTCTCGTCCGAGGTTTCCGCGGCTAGCGCAACCGCCGCCGGCGGATGTGGCGGCGGAGGGGGAAGTTGTGAGGCAGGAGCCGTCGTTGCCTTGGCCGACTTGCCACTTAGGCTTCTCCTGAAGATTCTCCTGAACATTCAGATGCAGCGGATCCCATCCGTTCGTGAAACGTGTGGCAACGGAGGCGCCTTTGTTGGGAGAGACTTCGGCAGAAGCGGATATGTTCTTGCGCGCAATGGCTTGGATCAGCGGAGTTGGCGGAGCTTCCGCAGCGCCTTCCACGATCATTCCCTCTTCCCCCATAGCGCCCCAACTGTCGCCCCCCTTCTCCAAACCCCACTCCTCCTCGCTGCGCTTTCCGCCCGCCCATTCCCCCATGAACCCGCCGCCCCATTCGTTATTTTCCGCGGACCCAGCCGCTGCGCACGGAAGCGGCGCTTGGTGAAAGCTGAATCCGTCGACGAGAGGGATTTGCGGCGGGGAGACGGCCGCCCACACGGCACCGGTGCCCGCGGCGCCGTCATTCTCGAGGTCCATTCGTCCGCGCCTTCTCGGACGCGGAAGGGCGTTCGGCGGAGCGAGTCGGGATTCTGCGGAGCGCACTGACTCAACACGGTACCCGGCACACCGCGTATGGGAAACAGTTGATTAGAGGAGGCTTCACGCGGTGGCTTTAAGTGCCCCTTACGGACCCTATCAGCCTAAGAACGGTCATGCTGCTCTCGAGCTACCGTTTTCCGTTCTTGTTGCCGATTCGCGGAATGGCCTTCTTAGGCTGATAGGGTCTATTCTGGACTAATTCACGATTCACAAAATGGCGAACTGGAAAGCGACAAGAAGTGAAAAAATGTTTACAGACACCTAGGTGAAACAGCGACCACACTTACTACGGACTGCTCTTAAGGCGTCTCGACAGCTGTAGGTTTTACGGACTGCCTGCAGCATTGTCAATGGCTTGACGTACAGTCTGGTCGACGAATCTGTAGGCAGCTGCTCTGTGTTGCCCGTCAACAGCTAGTACACTACGCGGCGAGAAAGAATTGTGTGGAAGATGAGCTGGTTGCATCAATGGTATCGGGGGATCCCCCGAATTGAGATACTGTATGTGGTGGGTGGCGGTGGAAAGGAAGCAGGAGGGACGTGGGGGAAAAGAAGGGCGCGTGTGGGGGAAGAAGGGCGCGAGTGAGGCACCGAGCTGAAAGGACGGATGGCCTACCTATCAAAATCCGATATGAGCTTATCGTAGGGCTCTCCTTGGCTCTTGCTGCATCTTGCGGTGTCACTTCGTCACGAGACAGCTGGATGCTCATACTCCGCACCAGACAACCCATCCCCGCCCCCGGCCGCACACAACGCTCAACTGTTCCGCAATTCCCAGGGTTGTTGGGTTGGGGCGGTCGTCGAATCGAATTGAAGACCAGGGGGGCACATGGGCTGGGTTCCTTTGCTGCGGGAGGAAGCCGAGGCGCAGGGCTGAACTGATGTGGTTTCCCAACGAGGCGCTGATGACGCGACAAGGGAAAACCGAAATCGTGTGCTACACGACATGATTCTGTGGGGGGTGTCGGTGATATTTGAGAGGAAGACATTGGGCGGACGCCGTGTGAATTTCTCGAAGAACACGACAAGATGCACAGCTGGTGGGATTCTAACCCGTTTTAGTTCGACCTTCTTTAGATCATACAATTCAGACATCCAGTTCTACTACGTGGAAAGATTATCAACTCGAATAAAGTGGTATATGATTACCGTATCTTCCATGCGATGAACGATTATCGAGGACTGGGCACTAGCGAAGCTCATGAGAACTTTGGGAACTCCGATTCAGAGATGTCTCTAAACTCTATTTCCCACTCGGGGCTGGATAAGAAATGTCCAGAGTGACTATTCCCTTAGTGACCTTTAGCTATTGCTTCTTGTGCAATCAAACCCCGATGTTGCCTTGACTACGTCGCAGTCCCGTAGCAATTCGACAGAATTGATACTTTTATCCGCATCATTATATTCCCATCCGTGACCGCGAATTTCACATCCCTGCGTTTCGCGTCCGTGTTTTGTAACGCCTTAGCGAGTCCGTTGATAGCGAGGACGGGCGCGAGAGACAGGGACGTCACAGAGGGGGTGCGACGCGGAGGGCAGCGCACCGAGCGGTGATGGGGAACGAGCACTCGCTGCTGACGCAGTATGACATCGAGGACGTTCAGCAGCACGTGGGTGGCCGATGTGAGTATAGCGAGTTGCAGGAGTGCAGCGGGCGATGTGAGTATAACGAGTTGTGCAGCGGGCGAAGTGACTATAGCGAGTTGCATGATTGCAGCGGGCGATGTGAGTATAGCGAGTTGCGTGAGTGCAGCGGGCGATGTGAGTACGCAATTCCGCGTTTCCTCCTCCGCGTCTTCCGCGTCTCCGGCGTCTCCCACACGGCACCATCCCCCTTCCCCAACAACTCCCCATCCCCTCTCCCCCATCCCCGCCCCTCTCCCCCCACTCCCCCCCTGCATGCTCCCCCCAGTCTCGCAGGAGGAGATCGCGGCGCTGTACCGGCGGTTCTGCACTTTGGACCGCAACGGCAAGGGGTACGTGAGCGGGGACGAGTTCCTCTCCATCCCCGAATTCGCCATCAACCCGCTCGCGCATGTGAGTCAACGCCAGTCAACGCTGGTCAACGCCAGTCAACGCTGGATCGCAACGGCAAGGGGTACGTGAGCGGCGACGAGTTCCTCTCCATCCCCGAATTCGCCATCAACCCGCTCGCTCATGTGAGTCAACGCCAGTCAATGCCAGTCAATCTCGTTCGCGCTGAACCTCCGCTGCTTCCCACGCTTCACCCTCTTTCCTCTCCCGTTTTTCATCCTCCCCCTCCCATTCCACCATTTCCCTCCCCCTCTCGCCCGTCCCCCCAACGGCTGCTGGGCGCATGGAATGGAGCGGCCTTCAAGGACATGGTAAATAGGCTCCTGGCTTGATTCGGAGCTCATCCCCCTCCTCCCCCCGGCCCCACACTGCCGCTTCCCCCGTCCTCCTCTGCTTCTCCCCCCTTTCTCCCCCCCAGCGGCTGCTGGGCATGCTAGAGGGAGTGAACTCCAAGGACTTTGTCAAGTGGCTATTGGAATTACTTAACAGCCATCCCCCCTCCTCCTTCCGCCTTTTCCACTCGTCCTCCCCCACCCCTCCTCCTCCTCCACCCCCCAGCGGCTACTGGGCATGCTAGAGGGAGTGAACTTGAAGGACTTTGTCAAGTGTCTCTTGAGTCATGTTCGCCCCATCCATCCCTGCTCTCCCTTCCACCCCCCTCCCTTTCCCCACCCCCCTCCCCTTTCCCCCCCAGCGGCTACTGGGCATGCTAGAGGGAGTGAACTTGAAGGACTTTGTCAAGTGGCTCTTGAGTCATGTTCGCCCCATCCATCCCTGCTCTCCCTTCCACCCCCCTCCCGGTCCGCACCCCCCTCCCCTTCCCCCCCCAGCGGCTACTGGGCATGCTAGAGGGAGTGAACTTCAAGGACTTTGTCAAGTGGCTGGCTGCCTTCAGCTCCCGCGCCACTGCTGAGGACCGCACCCGATGTGCGTGTGGTGGGGTGGCAGGGGGGGGTGGCGGGATGGGAGAGTGGTGGGATGGGATGGGATGGGATGGGATGGGATGGGATGGGATGGGATGGGATGGGATGGGATGGGATGGGATGGGATGGGATGGAATGAAGCTGGGATGGGCTACACTTTGTCAAGTGGTTGGCTGCCTTTAGCTCTCGCGCCATGGCATGATAAGGGTGGTGATAGGATGGGTTGGTATTTTATGGGATTGGATGGGTTTGAAGTTAATGTGACGTGCCATGGGGATCATTGGCTGATTCCACCTGTGCCATGCCGTGGCATGCCATCATGTCTCCCTCCCTCCCCCTCCTCTCCTCCCCCCAGTGTTGTTCGCCGTGTGCGACGTGGATGCCACCATGTTTCCTCACCCACCTGCCACCATTGCCGTTTCCCCCCATTCCCCCTCCCCTCTCCCTCCATTCCCTCTCCCTCCCCCTCCATTCCCCCTCCCCTCTCCCTCCATTCCCTCTCCCTCCCCCTCCATTCCCCCTCCCCTCTCCCTCCATTCCCTCTCCCTCCCCCTCCATTCCCCCTCCCCTCCCCCTCCATTCCGCGCCCCAGTGGTGTTCGCAGTATACGACGTGGATGGCGATGGCAAGATATCCAAGGGGGATCTGCACACCCACACGGCACCACTACCCCTTCCTTTCACCTTTCCCCCCCCCCCCCCTCCCTTCCCCCACCGCTCCTCCCTCCAGTGGTGTTCGCAGTATACGACGTGGATGGCGATGGCAAGATATCCAAGGGGGATCTGCACACCCACACGGCACCACTACCCCTTCCTTTCACCTTCCCCCCCCCCCCCCCTCCCTTCCCCCACCGCTCCTCCCTCCAGTGGTGTTCGCAGTATACGACGTGGATGGCGATGGCAAGATATCCAAGGGGGATCTGCACACCCACACGGCACCACTACCCCTTCCTTTCACCTTTCCCCCCCCCCCCCCTCCCTTCCCCCACCGCTCCTCCCTCCAGTGGTGTTCGCAGTATACGACGTGGATGGCGATGGCAAGATATCCAAGGGGGATCTGCACACCCACACGGTACCACTACCCCTTCCTTTCACCTTTCCCCCCCCCCCCTCCCTTCCCCCACCGCTCCTCCCTCCAGTGGTGTTCGCAGTATACGACGTGGATGGCGATGGCAGGATATCCAAGGGGGACCTCCTCGCCATGCTGCGGGACCTGTCAGGGGGGTTCCTGTCCGACGAGCAACGAGAGGTGGGTCATGGGAGAGATAGGGTTTATAATGGGAGTGGTTTGCAGGGGGATCACAAAACCCAGCAGCACCAGGGCAGGATTGACCTCCTCGCCATGCTCAGGGACCTGTCAGGGGGGTTCCTCTCGGACGAGCAGCGAGAGGTGGGCTATGGGAGTGGCGGGGCTTAGAATGGAGTGGGTTTGCATGGGAATAGCACAGCCCACCAACACATGGCGGTGGCAGACCTTTCTCGCCATGCTCCGGGGAACCTGTCAGGGGGATTCCTCTCAGACGAGCAACGAGAGCTGGGGCTTGTGATGGGAGTAATTTTGCAGGACAAAGGATTCGCCCTCCACATTGCGCTATGTGGTGGGACTTGCATTGCCTGCCTGCCTGCCCAGCTGCTGGAGGCACCCCCCCCTTCACCCCCCATTACCCGCCATCACCCCCCATTGCCCGCCATCACCCCCCATTGCCCTCCATCACCCCCCATTGCCCTCCATCACCCCCCCTCATCCATCAACTTCCCATAACTCCACATAACCCCTCCGTGTGCCTTCCCCCCACACGCGCTCCTCCCGTCACACCCCCCATCACCCCCTGTCACCGCCCTTCACCGCGCATGACCGCACAGGAGGTGGTGGTGCAGGCGATGCAGCAGGCGGGGTTCAGCAGCAACTCGCTCCTCTCTTTCAATGACGTCTACAAGGTCACCTGCCCTGCCCTGCTCTCTGCTCTGCCCTGCTCTCTGCCCCGCCCCCCTCTCTGCCCTGCCCTGCTCTCTGCCGTGCCCCACCACATGCCACGCCACACCATGCCATGCCATCCATCTCTGCTGGGCTGCCTGCTCGCATGCCTGGTCTTGGCTGCACAACTGCAGTCGCTTTGCTGCCTGTCTCTCTTTCTCAAACTCGGCCACCCCACCCATCTTCCTCCAGTCCATTCCCTTCTCTAACCTCGTTACTGCTATCCTCGTTTGTGTGTGCTGTGCACCAACCTGTGCCTTGCAGGTGGTTGGCAAGCAACTGCGGTTGCAACTTGACATTCCGGTGGATGAATAAGTACCGTAACCGTACCGTAATCTGTTGCTTATTAAAAAGGAGGTACGATGTGCTCCAGTGCCAATAAAGACAAGGTGCTGTGGCTCCTCGTTGTCTTCAAAAGTTATCCATCCATTCAATATTATGGAATAAATGCTGCATACAGGTGAAATTTATTGATGGGCAACCTTCTACAGATACAGTGCAAGGCTCTATGGATGGACTACCGTACTCTACGTGCTGGTGTAGAATTGCAACTGATGTGAGTGTAGCATTACTATGTGTAGCATACATGGTAACAAAGTGGGGGAGTGTATGTACACTCCTAAGGAAGTGTAGATGCGCCTTCGGACATGGCTCCCTGAGCAAGCCGATAATAAAGCAGCAGCATTGTTGCCATGCAGGAGCTGCACGCGCAAGGGGTGAAAAACGTGCGTGAAAAACGTGGGTGAAAAACGTGGGTGAAAAACGTGGGTGAAAAACGTGGGTGAAAAACGTGGGTGAAAAACGTGGGTGCAAAACGTGGGTGAAAAACGTGGGTGCAAAACGTGGGTGCCACACGTGGTCAACACAGGGGAAGGTGTGAGAGGTTCGCGTGTGCAGCCAACGGCACCATGAATGCAGGCGGGGGAAGGAGTGAGGAAAGAGTAGGAATGATGAAGGCAGTGGCGTAAGCAAGACAATGAGTGGGAATGCATACATGGCACAGAACACCCCACCTGCACACTCCTCTTCACACTAAAGCCACAGCAGCAGCAGAGGGCCCACATGGCAGCATGGCATGAGGAGGCGTGCGTCATGAGTGCACATGTGCCATGGCATGGCATGGCATGGCAGGGCACGGCATGGCATGGCATGGCAGGGCATGTGTGATGCTTACACAATGGCCACGATGAGCAGAAGCTTCTTGGGATCCACACCCCCGCTGTGCTTTGCCCCAAGATGATTCTTGAGTCGACACACAAATTAACTGCACAACACAATTGCCATGGCATCGCATGCATGATTCTTACACAATGGCCACGACGAGCAGCAGCTTCCGTGGGTCCACACCCCCGCTGCGCCGCTGCCCCGCTCTCCGCCTGCCCTCCTCGTGCGCGCCCACCGGTGCATGCTCGTCCTTGTCCCTCCGGTGCGAGTGCGTGGCCGTGAGCGTCACTGGCAGCGCGTGCAGCGCAGGCGACCACCACGACCCCAGCACCCGCAGGAACTGCAGATGCGCCGGGCCTGAGGGGGCATGGGGAGGGGGTGTGTGGGAAGGACAGGGGTGAAACCCCACGGGGGTAAGAGGAGAGACGCCCACCTCATTCACCCATCCCCACTCTCTCACCTCGTCTGCGGAACTTCCTCTCGGCCACCTCGTTCACTTCCTCTACGCCATCTCATGCATGCATCCACACACTGCTGCCTTTTCAAAACTCCTCCTCCCCCCCTCCCTTTCCACCCTCCCCTTCCCTTCTCCCTCCCCTTCTCCCCTTTCCCCACTCACCTCGTCAGGCGTACTTGCAATTGCTCGCCTCCTCAACTCTCACATGCATGCCCACACTCTCTCCTCTCCCCCCTCGTACTTCCCACCCCACCCCACCCCTTTCCTCTCTCACCTCGTCTGGCGTATTTGCGTTCGCCCGCCTCCTCATCTGTGCGGTAAGCCGTCTCAATCTCCTCTGTGATGTCCACCGCCGTGCGATCCGACCCGCCCGTTCGGCTGCGGGCAATGTTCACCCCGCCCTGCTGCTGTGGCTGTGGGATGCGTGGCAGGACAGCGAGAGGGTGTTGGGAGGAGTGAGCGTTTCTCACCTTCACTTGACGAGGCGATACGAGATGAGTGGGACAGGGAGAAGCGAGTGGTGGCGGCACTGGTGCACCCATGCAAACCGCATTCAACCACTGGCACACGCACAGCGATTCCCACCTCCAGGCACTCACTTGGCGCTTGGCCCCAGCTGAAGCAGCAGCTGCCGCCGCCGCTGCAGCCGCCACAGCCGCTGCTGCTACTCCTGACGACCCCGCCCCACTGCCCTCCCCCTCCCCGCCGTTCCTCTCCTCCACTGCTCCGCCCGCCTCCCCCCGAGCCTCCCCCTCCGCCCCTGCACTCGCAGAGTCTGCCGCCCGCCCCACCACTGCGAGAGGGCCGGAGGCAAATGCGGGCGGCGCGGGTTTGTCTGATAGTGCTGTGGCTGCTGCTGGGTCGGACGTGACAGGCGTGCTCAGGATGACGTCGGCGACAGATGTCTGTGTGGGATTGGTGTGGGAGTGGGGAAAGAGGGCTGTGGTTGGTTGGAGGGGGAAGCGAGGGTTATGGCTGGTTGGAATATTAAGTGACCCACCTGAGTCAGGAGCTATTCCAACAGACCCACCTGAGTCAGGAGCTATTCCAACAGACCCACCTGAGGCAGTAGCTGTTTCAACAGATACACCTGAGCCAGGAGCTATTCCAACTGACCCACCTGAGCCAGGAGCTATTGCAACAGACCCAGCTGAGCCAGGAGCTATTCCAACCGACCCACCTGAGCCAGGAGCTATTGCAACAGACCCACCTGAGCCAGGAGCTATTCCAACCGACCCACCTGAGCCAGGAGCGCTCTGAGGTGCGTGTAGAGGGCAGATGCAGAGTCCTTGTGCGACCTGGCTGGCCATATCTGCTCGCACGCACACATACACACACATGAACACATGCACACATGCACACACGCACAAACATAAACCACACACACACCCACACAAACGCACAGACGCGCACACACCAGTGCAAGAGAATAAGGACGTCAACTAGGCACAGGTCTTTCTGATTTCCACCGATACAGCAGAGCGTCTGTGCTGAGCATCATGCATATGCCAGCACAGCAGATCAAAAGGAGAAGCTGGGGGCATATGCTGCACGAAGGGACGCACCTCAAGGCCGCAACCAGGGGAGGCGCATGTGAAGCCCGCTGGGGCGGTGTTGGGCGGGAAGGACTCCACGTGCCTCTTCACACACTCTGCATGCGGCACGTCTGCACCCACCACACGAAGGAAGACGACATGGTGAACGTCATACAGGACAGCGAGAAGCAAAGGCAGGCGAGGAGCAAAGGCAGGTGGGTCGGCAATTAGACGAGAACATGAAGGTAGGTAAGGAGGTGAGGCAGGTGGAGTGGGAGGGGAGCGCGCGTACGGAGGCAGGAGAGGCGGATGGAGGGCTTGTGGGAGTCCTCGAGGGACTCGCTGCACACGGCGCAGTGCGGCGGCCAGTCGTAGTCGCCGTCGTTCACCCAGTCCGAGTACTGCCATACCTGGGGTCCGATCGTCGCGGGCACGGGAGAGAAGGAGGGAGGAGGGACGGACGGAGGGAGGGAAACACGGATACGAGAACCGTATGCTTTGTTGCTTCAAGAAACGTTCTACAATCGTCATGGCCACGAGGATCCGGGAACGTCTTCCCCGATGGTCTAAATGAAGCGAACGGCTGCAGGTGACACACAAGAGAGCAACGGACCTCCGGAAGCACGACAACAAGCGACAGGTGGCGACAGGACGTACCACGCAGTGCTGGTGATCGGGAGCGCATATGCAGTCGAAGCACACCGGCGTCTTGTGCACGAAGCAGTATAGCTTGGTGGCCTGCCACGGAAATTAAATCAATCCGGAGCGGATTTCGGGGTATGGGACTCTTCAAAGCAGCGAAATTGTCAACGAAACGGGTGAAGGACTTCTGTGACGATCTGATTACGCACAACAAGATTGAAACATTTGATTCAGCAGTCGCATGCGGCACACCTTACGACATTTGCAGACCACCATCGGGACAGATTCAGCTACACGAATCCAGTACACACGATATGCCCTTCAAGCCAGGTGGTCGATCACAGGAATTCGTGAAAAGTAACTTTTTTCTGCAGTTCCCGACATCTAGTCTTAGCAAGTTGCCATGGAAGTCTCTAAATGGCGATCTGGAAATTCAGCTGACTGAATGATACAAGTTTCTTTTACACCGACAACCTCGAGGCAAGGTGTGGCGGGAAGAGGAATTGTCAGCAGCGGGTCAGGGTGAGTTGATCCCCGTGTGTGAATCGTGTACACCATATTTAATATGGATACCGAAACACCAATTTGCATTGCATAACATGCTTCAGTAGCACTAACATTCCCTGTGCCCCTCTCCCATCTCTATGGGTTTGCCCCATGAGGTAAATTTCCCATGAGATTTCACCCCTCATGAGGTATCATGCCGTATGAACTTAACTCCTTTCAGTTAATATAGCGATATTTTTTTCTGCTCGAATAGAGAGACTTTAAATCCTGAACCTACAAGCAAATGAGTTGAAGTATAACAAATGCAGAGTTTGAAGCTACAAGCATACGCTGGGTACACAGTCCACACGTCCCACGCAGTCTACTCTATGTCGAATCGACTTCAAATCTCTGACACAGTTTCCCGCCACATCAACCGTCCTCGACAGTCCCTTCCCTGTGTCAATTCGCGCCACCCAATACAGTTACAGGTTTCTCGGTGAGGAAATGACGAACCGCCGTGCTTTCTTTCCTTCAATTCCAACGGGCAGTGGTTTTTACAGGCCTCCTGCCGCGCGATCGCGCCCGATTCCCGCGGTCAGTTTTCGCCATCAATACTCATTTTGTAGGTTTTTACGCGATTTTCGCTGGGTGACGGTTTCTGCCCCAGGCGAGAAATACATCTGACATCCCTGAATAATCATTACGCCACCCAGGAATCACGTTCGGAACAGTGCAAACAATCATTTCGCGCTGAGTATGGTTCCCTGAGGCGTGGAAACACATTACTAGACCTTGACGGGCGCGCAGTTTTCCCGCCACTAACGTGATCTGTGTGGCCCGTAACAAGCACGCGGATGGTCCGTCTAACAGCTCGAACGGCTCAGATTGCAGATATTTTGCGCGAGTACAGTTTCTATGGACAGGAATTCCACTCCCGCTCGTTGAGGTCTGACGACTAGCCCGTGAAGCAGTGCTGGAGGTCCACATCGCAGCGATTCGTTCGCACAGAATTTCCCGCGTATGAAATTACATTTGCTCGAAATTAACGAGGCTTTCATGGTTGTTTAGTCATCTACTCACGGTTTTGTAACGGTCCTCTTCAATGCACTGGCCCATTTGGTGGCCCTTTCTAAGTGGTCTAGTCTACACGTAAGTACCAAGCTCAACCATTACTTGCGCCACAGCAGTGTTACTCCTCAATAGCTGCCATGTCGGAACCCAGGGAACGCGCCGAGCGGATTGCGAATAACATTCTAGAGGCAATGAGGAACGTTCCCCCCGTACCCGGTGGCCGACCAATAGCTCCTAAGGATAATGCCCCATTGAGGCAAGGTGGTGTCTACTCCTCGAGGGATAAGGCCCTCAAGGCTGTGCAGGCCCACGCGTTGCATCACCGTTTTGGCTTCGCGACTGTGGAAGTGGCGGACGCGCACGTCATTCTGCAATGCAAAACGGCCATGTATGGAGATACGCCAATTTGCCCTTGGGAGTGTAGTTACAGCAGGGTTGTTCATGGCGGCTTCTGGATGGTGACATCCCTCTCCCCTCCTGAAGCACACGTCTGCAAGAAGTACAAGCGAGAGCAGGGAGCAAACGCCATCGCCAACAGCGTGAAGGTCATGAAGCGGCTTTGGGGCAACCTTGTTCGCGGCGCACCGTTTATTTCGGCGAAGATTCTGCAGGAGATTCTCACGTCCCACAGCAAGTTCCACATCAGTTACAAGCAGGCATGGCGGCTGCGTGAAGCAATCCAAAAGGAGATGTACAGGGATTGGCAAGAGTCGTTCAGGTTGCTCCCCGCGTTGGCGAAAAGGTTCCGCGAGATAGACCCGGATGGAAACTTCTTGATTCAGACGGTCGACGGCTGTTTCAACCGAATGTACATACAGCCGTCCGCTTCTTGCGGTGCGCTTGGTTTTTGCCGGCCAGTTGTTGCAATGGACGGCACGTTCCTCATCAGTGCTCAGCGCGCAACCCTTCTGATTGCCGTGGTACTGGACGGCAACCAGAAGATTACAATGCTGGCGTGGGCTTTGGTCGAAGGAGAAAACAAAGATTCATGGAGTTGGTTTCTGAGGAACTTTTTGAAGAGCTTCCCGGACTGGCCGCACTGTGACGACGCCTCCATCATCAGCGACCGCGACAAGGGATTGATTCCGGCTGCGCAAGATGTTCTCCCGCTTGGCATTCCCCATTACTTCTGTGCATGGCATCTTCATCAGAATCTTGTCAAGTTGTTCTATTGGCGTCTTGTGAAGTGCAGGCTTGAGGACAAATGGGACGCTTTGGTGGCGGCCTGTCGGCGTGACTTTGCACCTATGGCTAATTATCTCCTTGGCATTGAAAAGCCGATCTTGGGCCCATCAGCTGCAGATGCAAGTGAGCAGCAACGTCCTCCACCCACAACAGCAGCTGAGGCACGTCAACAAGCAGCCGAGAATCGTCGCCAGGGTCGTGAAGCAGCACGCGCCACGATGGGTCGCGGCACTACTTCACGTGCGCATGGGCGTGGTGCGGGAGACACCAGCGCGGCGGGAGCCACACCGTCCGGACCAGAGCCTGCACCGACTGAGAGCACCGCTGACCCTATGGCTCAGCCGGCCGAGTCCCCTGCAACTAACTCGCCGCCAGCTCGTCCGTCTGGGTCGGCGCCTGCAACTGCACGACCTTTCGATTATGCACGCATCCTGCGACGTGTAAGGACAGGTTACATCGCCAGCTCCATCCGTACGGACCTGCCACGTGCAACTGGATCGAACGGAAACCCGGATGAGGATGGAGAGCAACCCAACGGGGGAAACACCTGCCAGGCATTGGTCCTGGTTTCTTTGGATCACCCGTGGCCAGATGTCGGCACTGCTAACCCCGGGGTTAACACAGGGGCCGATGCTGACGAGGACGATGAGGAGGATGCAGATGCAGAGGAGGCAGATGCAGAGGATGCGGATGCGCCTGCCAGGGCAGAGGGGGTGCAGGCAGACGCTGGCGTGGACGACGATGACAACACTCCAGAGTCAACTGGCGCGGATGGGGACCACACCACACGCGCGCGGACCGGGTTTAGGCAGAACAAGCGTGGAACAAGGAAGAAGTTGGGCATCAACCTTGTGCACTGGACTCGCCTTAAGGCCCCTACTCGACGCTTCGGGATATTCACCAGCAACGCAGCTGAGCAGGTCAACAGCTCCATCGTGCCCATTCGGCGCTTGCCGGTGACCCCGCTGCTAGGGGGTCTCTGGGACTGGTATCGCAATAGGTATTGTGAACGTAAGATGGAGGCGCGCGAGCGAACAGATCTCCTGACAGAGGCAGCCGAGGAGCGGATGGTGGAGAAGGAGACACGGGCGGAGGGGTACGAGCTGCTGGGCGGGGACCATGAAGAAGGAACCATCCAGACCAGGGACACCGATGATCCCAAAGAATGGAGGTCCTTCAACGTCAACTTGGCGGCGAAGACATGCGACTGCACTAACTGGGACCAGTACCAGTTTCCGTGCTCCCATGCTGTGGCCTTTGCCGTGAAGCGGAAGCTAGAGCCCCGCACTTTCGTCTCTCATTTCTACACCACGAAGAATTGGGCAGAGACCTACTCTTCAACAGTGCGGGGGTCCTGTGTGGACCGCATCATCCTTGAGAACTGGCTGGCCAGCCCAGGCCAGTGCGATGCTCCGCCCTTTCGCCGCACCGTTGCCGGCCGCCCCCCGAGCTACGCTCGCGTAGAGAAGGCCGTGTATCCATACAAGTGCAGCGTTTGCAAGATGGTTGGTCACAACAAGAACCGCTGCATGGGGAAGTACGGTGGCAACTCTGTTCCGGAGAAGAGGAGGTACCGTAAGCGCCCAAAGTCGCGAAAGCCCTATCGGGAGGCTGCACCTGGCGCGGGCACCATTTGAACATTCCAGGGTTGATATAGCTTGAGTAGCTTCTCACGGAGTTAGAGAAATCTATGTAGTGTAGGCGTTCTCACGCCACTTTGGCTAGTGCAGAATATGTAATGTTGGTATATTGGGTTCATATGTTTATCTTTGTATTAGGAAGATTGATATTCACAATATAATCCAGTAGAGTGCAGGGTGAGGCTGACAGGCACGTCAACCTAGTGTGGAAACCCAGTGAAGGGTTGGGCGAGACCAAAACCGGAAGCGCCGTGACTAGATCGTTATGAGCAGGCTACCCATACTCAGGGTAAAACTGCCCGTCACCACTTCGTCAATATCCCGTGAACAAACGTTCACGGCAAAGTGCACGCACCCGTGAACTCAAAGTGAATGTAACGCCACTGAGTCGCCACGGTCGAGAGCATGCATGATCTTTTTTTCAGGAACCGGCGATTGGCCCGTGAACACGGCTTCAGATTTCTAGCGTGTGGATTGTCGGTGGCAAATTACGCCGTCGCATTATCTTCGATCGTTGTACATGGCTTGTGGAATGTCCATGAAGTGTAACCGAGTGCATCGCGACTGTTCGATTTAGGGTGCACACTGCGAACTACACCGTCACTAACCCGTGAACTCACAGTCAAATGCTGGCCATTGGCTAGAGCATGCGCTCGTGTAGAACCTTGGGTTTGGCGCTCGTGTATAACTGCCGGGCGTCAACACCCCGTGGGCGAAGAGCGGGTCAATAACCAGGGCCTCGTGGATGTCCCGCGAAGACAGACCGAGTGTTTCGCGAGGAATTGGATGAATTTCTTTGAAACTGGACACCCCAAAAAAAATGCCGGGCCATCCCTGGAAAATTCGCGACTGTTACCCGCTTTCGAGGATAGCTAGCCTGATTATTTACCATGCTTCGCGGGGAGGAAATGATGCTTGTGACGGAACTTTAGGCACGAACTACCTGGGTGCCCATCTCATTACCCTAACCAGAACAAATGTTTTTCGAAACCGCCATGTTCATAACCATCATGTAATCCTTGGTTTTACCCCGTGATGGGCTCGCGAATCCGCCACGGCCATAGTACGAGCTCGCTTCAACCTCGTATATATCTCGTAACATTGTTCATACAAAATGCGGGTGTGTGTATGCGTTCAAGTGTGTTGGGATACGGTAAGTAGGCAGTATCATCGAACTTGTGACAGTTTAAAAATATGCACAAACATCTTCTGCTCGTGAATTTAAGAAACATTTGTAAAATCCCTGGAACGCCCATACAGAACGAGGTTCAGGCAGTTTTAGAAGCTCACACTATAAAGACCCACAACTATGCTTTCGGAGAAATGTGATGTCAGGATCACACATGAACGACCCCGTAAAAAAGGCACACAAGCAGGTGTCACCTCGTTGCGCTTTCAAGTCCGTCAACCGTCTGTCGGAGACGAGTCATTCTCTACCGCGGCAAGTCTTTTTGCAGCTTTGCGCTTCTTCTCTTCCATCTTGATTTCGCAGTCATCCCAAGCTTCCTCCCAGTCCTCCCACCTGTGCCAAAACTTGTGTCGAATCATTGTTAAACAAGTGGTCTTGTCGCATCCTTTCAACAACCCCTTGTCTACGTTTGTCAGTGGTACGGTCTTCCCTCTTGGCCCGCCGTCTGGACCAAAAAGCACATGCGCTCCTGCTGCCAGTGATCTCGCCGCGTCTAACTCGGTCCCAAACTGACTGCCGATGACCAGGTGCCCGTTTTTCGCCGGAACGCACACAAGTCTTGCAACCCATCGGCCGCTCCACGGCTTGTGTGCGACGCCCACGTAGTCGGACTTAATTTCTTTGCGCACCGCTTTGGAACTCTTATTGTTGGTACGGCGAACTGTCCGTGGAGTCTCAACGGCGTCACCAGCACGGTTGTCAGAAGGAATCGGCACGTCACGCGATATGGTCGATCCACCCGCAGACTGTTTCATGTCGCCGAATATGGCCGTAACCGTTGAGGCCATCCCGTCGCATATGTCGTGAGTCCTCCCAACAACGTGCTTCACATTCGCCATGTCTGCTTCAACAGCTCCGAGGCGAGCACCTAGCTTCCGCAGTTCCGCGGCCATGTCGGTCACCACCGGTCCTCCGTCCCCTCTTGGTTGCACATCAGGGCCGTTTTCATGGTGTTGTGTCCGCTGCTGCACGTTTACCATAGACGCCGTCGATATGACCGCACCATGTCTAGGTTTCGCCGCACGGAGACGACTGCTTCTACGGGTTTCGTTCCTCGGCATACTGTGGAGTCTGCTAGCGCATTAAAAACGAGTGGTGGCTGAATGCCTGAACGGAATTATGCTCTGTAGATATACTGAGCTTTGGGAGGTCGAGGTTTTCACGGGCGAGCAGAACTTCTAACTCTGATAGACAAGCAGGTGACGAGCATAACTGGAAGACCTGGCCAATGTTGGACTCTCCGATGACGGGATGTTCACGGGGGGTTTGTGACAGGACTGGGAACTCTCGCCGAATGCCCTGGAACCATCAATTCTTGGACTACGAGGCCAAGCGTCATGCTCGGATTGGTTCGCTGTCCAGGTGATCAATCGTGACGAATGCGTGCAGAGCTGTCAAAATCTGACAACCAGATTGACGGATTCATGCACACTTCGATTCACTAAGACATACGCGACAATTATTGCTCCGTGTCTGAACACTACGAGTATCGCAATCAAACATTTTAAATAGTGAAACGACAAATCGTAAGCGGAAACTTAAACGTCCGTTACACAACATATATGCCATATGCTGCTCAGGGTCCAGCATGCTGCCATTGCTCTAGACTGTTTGGCAAATTAACCAGTCAATATATAGTACACGGAAATGTTTGCAATATATAGTGGAATGCCTTCTCATAAAGTTTCGTATCGCAACAGTGGTCATCTCATGATCTCACGCATTTTACATCAACTCTGCCATTGACGTCAATCGCCCACCACCACTACTCGGACGTTTGCGAACCTTCAAGGGTTGATCCTAGCGATGATCAACACGTGATCGCAACATTTGGGACGCTAAGTGTGTCTTCTTGACGTTACCCTTATCTCGAATGTGGACAATTCGTGTTCCGCTGTACGATAATGTTTTATTCTGGATTTCCATGTTTCAAGTAGTTGCTACCAATCTGTTATTGAGATCCTGGGCCCTATACTACCTGTTGGAGTATGAAGGCAATTACACTTAGCATTCCCGTAGGCGCATCAGTATCGCACCAGTCCTTATCGAAGCAGCAACAACCGCAGTATCGGATCAGCCCGTATCAAGGGCAGGAAGGTTACATGCAGCGACTCGGTAACAAGAAAGAAGTGCAACAGTCAGAGTCACTGTAGAGATGCCTGTAGAGCAGTTAGAATAAGGGAAAGTACCCCTCAGAGTACATGGCTAGCTAGAACCAGGCCCTCACTCTAATACCACCACCACCAGAACTGTGTATATCTTTTGTGCAGATCAGTCTCTAAACGTTTTATAGGCACAGCATATGATATTGTGTTTTTTCACGCTTAAACCACTTTCGTGGGACATGGAATGACATCAACCCTTATATCTTAATTGATGCTTTTACTCGCAAAGCTGGCTTCAGCCTAATTTGGATTACAACAACATTATTGTCTCTTAGAGACATAACAGATTATTATTTTTGATTCTGCCTGTATATCCAATGCAAAATTTAAGTGTGGTCGAGTATGTGTGACACAGGTTATATTTATTCAATATTGAAATGTTGTGTTATCGTGTGCAACACACACTATTTATACACGAAACTTAACGCCGAAACGAGCATCTGACGTGGCTGCGACGGAGTATTCACGATAGTTTGGGAATATGTACGCGGACTGCTCACTGTTGACTTGCGGGGTTGCTCACGGGGATTTGGCCGTCGACCATCCGCCACGTGCGTTATACGTGTCCGCGCTGGAATGCTCACAGGTGTCTCACGATGTGTTCGCGGATTGCACACTGTTGTCGTGCGGATTTTCGGTGGGTGTGATGTGAGTAACATATCATTGGTCAATTTTAATTATACACGCTCCCAAAAGCCGAAACGAGCGTCTGACGAGGCAGCGACGGAGTAATCACGGCCGTTTGAGAAGAAGTTCGCGGACTGCACACTGTTGACTTGCGGGGTTGCTCACGTGAATCAGTCCGTGCACCATCAGCAACGTGCGTTGTACGTGTCCGCGCCGGAATACTCACGAGTGTGTCACGAGGTCATAGCGGATTGCACACTGTTATCCTGCGGATTTTCGCTAGCCGTTTTGTGATTTAACATATCTTTGGTACATATCATTCCCCCCGCGCTCTTGACGAGGGATTCACGATGACTCGGCGACTGACAAATCGCGGTTGTTTCACGAGGTGAGCGTGTGTTGTGAAATGTTGTTGAGAAGGATTATCTTTGTTGTTTTGTGAGTATCGCGTGACGGGATCCCCGTCAACACATCATGATGGTCTCCCGATGACTGCACTTGATGTTTACTCATAGACAGTCGGATGTACACGGCACATTGACGGTTGATAGACCCTTTGTAAACGAGCCAATAGTGTGTCTTTTGTTGGAGCCAACTACAATCCATATTTTGATGTATAGTCGTGGGACGGCATGATGCCAAACGCCAAAGTAGCAGCAAACGAATGCACATACAAGTCTTCATATACACAAAGAGATTCTCATTGCTAAGGCATACATATAAGTAGCATGTTTAGAGGTTGGATGTGCACCAAAGCACCATCCATAATGCAGATGACCGCTAGCCTACTCATCCTTAGATCCCACACCCTCATGGTTATCTCCCGTCACCCCTCCTGACAGGCCTTCACCGTCCGTTCTGGCCTTTTTGTCCTGCAGACCGCCAGGGTGCCCCAAGCTCCTATCTAATGCCGCTCGCTTCAACGCCGCCCTGCGCTCTTTCTCGTCATACTTAGCTTTAGCAGCATGCCAATACTCCGCCCACTGCTCCCACTTGTGCCAGAACTTCATCCGGACCATCAGATCACACTGTTGAGCCGTACACCCTTGTAACTTTGCGGTGTCGACGTCCGTCAAGGGGATGAGATCGCCTCTCGTGGGATTGTCGACGAACATCACATGAGACGCTGCGGCTATTGACCTAGCCGCGGCGACCTCAGATTGAAAGTGACTGCTGATGACAATAAGAGAATTGGAAGAGCGGTCGAGAACAATCCTAGCCACCCACTCGTTCTTACCCTTCTTCTTGGTGACCCCCGTGTACTTTATGCTAGCGGCCTCCTCCTCCTCCCCAACCTGGGTCGATGGCATGGCGCACGAGGAGGCGGCAGGGGAGGGCAGAACCTGTTGCGGTGGCTGCGCGAAGCCGGAGAGCATGTTCAATAGAGTCCCACGAGGTGCGGAGGAGGAGTGGCCAGGTAGGTTGCTGCCATTGTCGAGCGCCTCTGCAGCGACGAGGAAAGCAGCTGGATCCTGCACACAGGGGCCGTGCGACGACAGCGGCAGATGCACGGCAGAGGTTGGATGTCCAGATCCGTGGAAGAGCAAGTTGGGACGATGCAGAGCATGGCCTATAGGTCGTGGTGGCGCGCCATGTGCAGATGCTCCCGACTGAACACCACCTCCGTGTGGAGCAAATCCCCCCGCTCCTGGTTCCCGAAATCCCTGGAGATGCATCCCGGGTGGAAAACCCGGGGGCACAAAGAGCTGTTCTCCTGATGTCCATGCAGCTGCTTGCGACCCTGTTGCATCATGGACCTGCACAGACTGCGGAAAGTTGGTGAGATCCGACCCCGGTCCCAATATATCCCAGCAGGCGTCACCAGGCCGTACAACGCCCGCGTTGATAGCAAACCCCGTGGCGGGTCCGTGCTGATGCGCTGCCGCCTTTGGAGCACCCGCTGTCGCACATGGCTGCACCGCAGCTGCTGTACGTGCAACGCCTGCAGAACCTGGCTGACACACTGCTGCTGTAGGTACACCGGCTGCGGCCTTTGGCTGACCCGCTGCTGCTGTTGTTGGAATAACGGCAGCTGCAAGTGGGTGACCCGCTGCTGCTGTTGAAACACCGAACCCTGCACCTGGCTGACCCGCTGCTGCTGTTGGAATAACGGCCGCTGCACCTGGCAGACCCGCTGCAGCTGTTGAAACGCAGGCTGCTGCACCAGGCAGACCCGCTCCTGCTGGACCCGCACCGGCAGAGGAACCTGGCTGAACCAAACCAGCAGGTGGAGCAACGGCAGAGGCACCAGGCTGACCCGCTCCTGCAGGAGGAGCACGGACAGAGGCACCTGGCTGACCCGCTGCTGCTGTAGAAACATATGCTGCAGCACCCGCCTGATCTGCCGCGGAGGATGAAGCGCCGGCTGCGGGACCTGTGTCACCCGCCCCAAACCTTGTCTTCTCGGATGTGGCTCCCTGGGCTTGCACGAACCCTGGAAGCTCGCCGAAAAATGGTCTACGCGCAAGTGACGGACCACCAGCAGAGGTGTGAAGAGCACCTTTTGTTGTGCCAGGAGCTACTACAGATGCTCCGACCGTACCCGCCGGCGGTGGGGTTGCAGCGGTGGAGTCGCCGGCATCAGGCCTGATCAAACCCTCCAGTGCAGCCATAGGCAGTTTGAACCCAGCATGTGCAGCCAGCTGCTGAAAGGCGGTAAACAGTGATGACACAGTCATTGTCAGCTTGACGATTCCCTCTCCACCCTTGTAAGCTGAGTCTTTCAGATTATCCACGTCTTCTATTAGGCTGTTGATCTGGGCAGCATGGATAGCCTGCTCCGCCGATATATCTTTAACCTTGGTGTCGAGATCGACCTCAACCACGTCGTCGCTCTCACCCTCGTCCTCCTGCTGCTGCTCACTCTGTGGTGGAATTTCGGCCCCCTTCACTTTCAGCGATTCCAGCAGAGTACCTTCGCCGGCCTCGCACATGAGAGCACGGATTTCGCGCCTGTAGTGCGCGCCCCCGTAACGGAGTTTCGGAATCCCTTCTTCCATGAATTGGAAACAGCGGAAAACGAGCTCCTTGATGTACATGCAGACGTAGACTCCGCAGTCAACGTCATTCTGTTGCTGAGGCACGTCGAAGTACTGCAAAACACAAGATCCGGAAGAAAATAACGTAGGCAGTGTAAACTTGGAAAATCTTGTTGTGCTTCTTACAGCCATCGCGACATCAAACACCAAAACCCTAAACTCACTTGAAGGCCTCGGCTGTGCACGCGTTTGAGCCGCTCTGTCACTTCTTCCCATGGCAGATCAGGGCACGCCTTTTTAAGGGCCCTCCCAAGAAGCCTGCGGATGGATCAATAACACGTCAGCACGAAAGATGATAGTAAGGACTACAAAAAAGCAGCCACAGCCAAAACTCACGTGTTGATGTTTGTGAACACGGCTTCGCACTGGTCGTAATGGACGCGTGCGGAGTCGAAAAGGACTGCAAGAACTATTTTTTCCGGAGCCGTGGCCTGGTATTCCTCGTTACTTAAGAGCAGCAGCCGGGGGTCCCTAACAACCACAAGGCTGAAATGATGTAGTGGTTCCCTGCAGCGAAAGATTGCAGCGGAAGTCAGGTCATCCAGACAACTGTCGGAAACAGCAATTAAACTGTGAAGGGCGCTGATAAGGGCGCTGTACCCCGCCTACCCTAATTAATGTCACCCTTACTTGTTGAAAACCACGATGCAAACGTAGTCGTGCTCGAAAACCCTTTTGCAGTCGACTCCGCATGCAAGCTCCTGTCCACCTGTGACGGTTTGGAATGCAAGCGTGTCAAGCGCCAACCACGTTTTTCCGTCTGGAAGGTTCCTGTGAAGAAGGCTCAACACCCTGAAATGATACGAACACGAATGACCATTAAAATGAAGGCGATGAGAAACAAGTACTGAAAGACCGCGTATCATGACTTACACATTGTGAAAGTCGATTATTGAGGTTGAAATCTCGAACCCATCCTGTATGTGGAGGGCATCCATGATTGTCACCTTCGCTCTCTGGCCGTGTTGATTTTTGAACTCATGAGTTGGGAAATGATCACTCTTAACAGATCTAGGAAGCTTGTCGGTCACGAGGTCAGGAACTTTGACACCCTTCGCGAACCTTGATATTATGTCGTCGGGCTCCGGCAGCACATCTACGCCTTCTAATATAACCGGAACCTTAAATTCAGGGCTCGGAGCCGGCACAATATCGCTCGCATCCTGCTTGCCCCTGGCTGATCGTTTCCCTCGCGTAACAGCGGTCTGATTACTTAGGGCTTTCTGGCCCTTTAGGCGTGTAGAATGCCTGGGAGGCGTCATCGTGAGCTAGCACTACGTGAAATTTATGCACTGCGGCTGGTTTGGAAAAGGAGGAGAGGAGGATGCTATGCTAATGGACAAGTCGAGGTGAAAATGATAGAACAAAAAGAGTCGCTAGTCAATGAAGTCATAACCCTTGGTCCACGAGAGACCCACGGAGGAAATGGCGACTGCGTGCTCACGAGACGTTGAAGGGGGAGAAGTCGACGTGAAGCAAGGACGACGAAATGTCAGACCGTTGCGCGCGTGCATGCAACGGTGCTCAACCCGCCAAATGTAGTCCAAGGTGTCACGCTCTTATTGAGTGGAACCCTGACATTGATGGGTGACGAATGAAACCACAGCAGACTTGTCGATGCATGAACAGCAAAGCTATTTCGCGTGCAGCATTATCATTGCACTTGCCACAGAACAGGTGTGTTTTACAGCGCACCAAAAAGGACAAACTCGTAATGAGTGTGTGCAACATTCACGAGATGTTTGGGCCTGCCCACGAAAACAATGAAAGTGTACAGAATTCGGTGTTTGAGGCGAAAACTGACCGCGGGAATCGGGCGCGATCGCGCGGCAGGAGGCCTGTAAAAACCACTGCCCGTTGGAATTGAAGAAAAGAAAGCACGGCGGTTCGTCATTTCCTCTTTCTCGGTTCTCTTCTTCCCTCCCTTTCAACCTCCAACTCTCCTCGTCTTGGCTTTTCACTTCATTTACAGCAACCGCGGATTCCCTAGCAAAAGCCATCCTTGAGATTCTCGAGCACTGCCCTCATGCACTTCAGGAAGAGGTAACCCGACGATGGACTCTAAGTACCATGTAGTCTGCGCTCCCACGCGACTCACATTGACTAGCACAGCGGGTCCGCGTGGCTCAGAATGGCGACGCGGGGTATCTAGCTTCACGTCGCGGTTGTTTCGCCTTAGATGGTCCCGGCCGTCAGAAGATAGTAACCATTTGCTTCGCACTAAGAAGGTTAGCCCTCCGCCGTCACCAGTCTCCGGAAAATGTTCCAAGTGGACCCGCACCTCCCCTACCCGCCTACGCCGTTTCACCCGCCTTGCCATCCTCGCCGTCGCTTTTCTCCTCGCTCTTTTTGCCGTCATCGATCTGACAAGATTAGCCCTCACGGACGGCCCAGATGAAGAAGGAGGATTATTCTCCTCGAGCGCTGCTGGAGGCCGATGGAGTCCCCAATTCAAATCGCGCTGCTCGAAGCGCTGCTCGCGCCGCGGCACGTGCAACGAGGAGCTCGGTCGCTGCGACTGCCCCGCGGGGTTCACGGGCGACGCGTGCGAGGCCGACGCCTTCCCCTCATGCCAGCTTGCGCCGGGCTTCCGCACGCCGTGCGCGTTCCCCTCCACCTGCGCGTGCGCGCGCGAGTGCCGCGCGTTTCACCTCATCGGCCCCGGCGCGCTGTGCTTCAACGCCTCCCCCAACGCCTCCGCCATTCCGCCACGGTCGCTGGCGGACATCTTCCGCGCGGAGGTCATCACGGTCGGCGCAGCGGAAGATGAGGATGAGGCGGAATGGCCGAGCACAGGGATGGCGGATAGGGGAACGCAGAGTGGCGCGGGGAACGGCGCGATTTCATCCGCGATAGTGTCCAGCAGTCCACGCGGCCCTAGCAGATTGCACAGCAACGATCTCCCCGCGTTGCGCAAGAGCTCGCGGAGATGGGACGGGGGGCGCAATGTGCGGTGGAAAGGGGCGGGCGCACGGGACATGCCGCCAGGGGGCGCGTGGAATGACTGGGGAAGCGCGGCTGGCGTGGGAGCAGCGGGCTTAGGGGGGAGAGGACAGGCAGCGCGCGGGCGGGTGGCGGGCGGAGCGCAGAAGCAGGTGTGGGCGCAATACACGTGGCAGTTGCGGAAGCGATACACGGACCCGCGGGAATGCCCCCTGGGGTGCTCTGGTCGCGGGCTGTGCCGTGACGCGTCCAAGACGTGCGAGTGCGTGCCCATCGTCCCGCCATTTCCTATCATCCCCAAGCTGATGATCGCCCTGCCCTCTGATTCAAATCGAACGCAAGTACCAAGCATTCGCGCCCTTCACTCTGCTCCTTTTGCCGCCCCCATCTCTTCACCTCTCCCTCTCTCCCTCTCTCGCTGTCCTCCCCTTCCCCCTCCCTTCCCCACCAGCTGCGCGTGGCGGTACGCGGGGCCGGGGTGCGAGGAGGAGCGCGCGGGGGGCGTGCGGTGTGTGAACGAGTGCAGTGGGCGCGGCAGGTGCGACGGTGGCACGTGCGCGTGCCAGGCTGGCAGCTTCAGCATTGATTGCTCGCTGTCGCTGGATCCCAGCACGGGAAACATAAGGTGAGGGCCAGCGGTATAGTTGACAGGAGCTGCCTCGCACATGTGGTCTAACGTAGAAATTGAAGTACAGGTGAGGGGTATGGTTGAGAGGAGTTGCCTCACACTTCCTTCTCACTCTCTCACTCCTGCTGTCCATTGCTGTCGCCCTCCCGTTCCCTCCTCCCTCCCACCCTTCTTCGCCCCTCTCAACCATTCCTACCCACCCCCGCCCTCCCCTCCTTCCCGCCCCAGCGTTCTCTCCAACCCCACCTTCAGATGGCCGCCCCAGTCCCCGCCCTTCCGAGCAGCGCTACAAGACAAGAATCCCCGCCCACGACTGTACGTGTACGAGCTCCCCCCAGAGCTGAACACGTGGCAGTGGGAGCAGTCGGGCGCTCTGGATCATCCCGAGGGGGTGGTGTTCCTGGAGAGGCTGCTGGCGGATGGGCGGCGCACGGCGGATGGCGAGCAAGCGGATTACTACTATGTGCCGCTGGTTACCAGGTGAGGTGAAGATGTGGTAACCAGGTGAAGTGGGGCAGTGGCAGCCAGGTAGGTGGGGCAGTGGTAACCAGGTGGCAGTGGTGAGACCCTAACTTGCCGCACCGAATCTCGGGAAGAGCATCAGGTGCAGGCTGTGGCTCGCTAGGCGCTGCCTGCACCTCACCCGTCTCCCGTCCCCCTTCCTCCTTCCCTGTCCGTACCTCGCTCCCTCCATTTTTCGTCTGCCCCATCGCTCCACTCTTGACCACCAGGAATCGCGGGCAAATGAGCATGGGGGGCATGGAGATGGGCGCATATGGTGGCACAGCGATGGCGGGGTGGGACGCCATTGACGCCGCTGTGACGTACATCAGCCGCCACTGGCCCTTCTGGAACAGGACAAACGGTGCCGACCACGTCTTCCTGCTCAACGGCGACTGGGGGGCGTGTGAGATGCGGCCAAGGGAGGGCAGTGGCGGGGGAGAGAACTGGGGGAGATTGGGAGTGGCGGAGGGTGAGGGGGAGGGGATGGTGCTGCAGAGGCATCCGAGGCTGGAGCGAGCTGTGGTGCTCACGCCCTGGGGGTACGGGGGAGCAGCAGGCGGGGCGGGAGGGTGGGGGTGGACGGAGGGCAGGAGGGGCGAGGCAAACAGGGGGAGAGGGGCGCAGATGCAGATGCAGATGCAGCAGCAGGGTCCTGAGGGCAAGTGCTTCATGGCGGGGCAGGACGTGGTGATCCCCCCGCTGTTGCCCCCCTCCGTGGTGCTCGCCTCTCCCTTCGTGCGCGAGCCCCTTGAAGGCACCCCCGACCGCAACACTCTCCTGCTCTTCGTTGTTAGAGGGGCGAGGGGAAGCGGAGGGGTAGGGGCAGGAGCAGGGGCAGGGACAGGGGGGAGGATGGGCAAAGCAGGAAAAGCAGAGGGGGTGTGGAGTCCGGGGGCCGGGGTGGGTATGAGAGGTGGGGAAGCGATGGCAGGAGGCGAGTGGGTGGGGAGGCCTGGAGGAGGAGGCTGGGGTGCGGCGCACAGGGACCCACGTGCTGCTTCGTCATTGGCCGCGGGGCTTGTACCGAATGAGCGTGTATCGAGTATAGGTGCACAGTTCCTGCAACTCTTCTCCCACCGGCAGCAGCAGGTTGGGTTCCGGATCATGCACGTGGGCGCATCGGGCAGGGGGGCAGTGCAGGAGGGGCAAGACGGGGACTGGGAAGAGGCAGGGGAGGAGAGGGAGGAGGGGGAGGAGGAGGGGGAGAAGGGCAAAGAGGAGAGTGCAGTGACAGATGCCATGTTGCGGGCGCAGTTCTGCTTTGCGCCCACGCCCGCCACGGGCTACAGTGACACTATAGTGCGCGCGGTGCTCCTCGGCTGCATCCCCGTCATAGTCCAGCCCAACACACAGCACCCCTTTGCGAGCGCCAGTGCTGCTGGCACGGATGCAGCAGCAGGTGGTGGCACCATCCACTGGCCGTCCCTGGCGCTCTTCCTGTCTCCCCAGCAGCTGCCAGAGCTCCCGGAGATTCTCCGAGGCATCACCTCAGAAGAGGTGGCTCGGCGCCGCACTGCCATGAAGGCCGCCTGGCCGCGCCTGCTCTGGGCCTCCCCACAATACAGCCCCCTCTCGCCCTCCCCCTCCTCGTATTCTTCTTCCTCTTCCTTCTCGTATACCTCCTCCTCTACCTCCGAGTCCTCCGCCCCCCCCACGCCTTCCAGTCTGCTGTATCTGCAGAAGAAGCTGCGCCCGCTGCTCGCCTCCTCGGATGCTTTTTCGTCTGTCATGGCTGTTCTCGGGCGGCGAGTTCGGGCAGCTGAAGTTTCGGCTGTGCAGGGGATGGTGACGCTGCCAGCGGCAGGGGGGCAGGTGGGACCTGGCCAGGTGGTATCTGGTGGGAAGGGCAGCTTTGTGTTTTCTAGAGCAAGCAAGATGGCGGGGGGTGGGGAAGGAGGGGGGTACAGGCAGGGGGGTGGGTGGGTGGGGCGGGGGGAAGGAGCGTTAGGGAAAGGGAGGGGGGGTGGGGGGAAGAGATGGTACACGGTTGGGGGCGTGGTGGTGGAAGAGGAGGAGAGCAGGGGGGAGAGGGGAGAGGAGGGGGGGGAGAGTGGGGTGGGGGGAAGAGGTGGTGGCAGCACGAGCCAGCTGCATTCGCTGTCACTGCTGCCATCCTCACAATCACTCTCCCGTAACAGGGCATCTTCTCTCCATTCCTCCTTCCCCTCCGCCCTCCCCTCATCCCTCCCCTCCTCCCTCTCCTCCTCCTCTCCTCCCTCCAACTGCTCCTCCCTCTGCTTTCTACGGGGCACGTGCAATGAGGCCACTGCCACGTGTCACTGCGTGCCTGGCTTCACAGGCAAGCACTGCCACGTGTTGGCCATGCCCAGCTGCCAGCTGGCGCCGGACGTGTGGACGCCGTGCCACGTGGCGACATCCTGTGCGTGCGTGAGGGAGTGCGATCGGTACCGCTTGGAACATCTGCCAGAGTGCTTTGATGAGACTGGTGCACTCATGGGAGGGAATGATACCACTGCTGCTGCTGCTGCTGTTGCTAACGGTGCTCCTGCTAGTGGTGCTAGTGGTGCTGGTGGTGGTGCTGGTGCTGGTGGTGTCAACAGCAGCAGTGCGGGAAATTCCTCTTCCTTTTTGACTGTTGTGGCGGCTCGTGGTGGAGGGGTGAGAGCCGCCCTGATTGGCTGGATCAAGGGCAGGAAGGGGACGATGAGCCCAAGGTGAAGGAAGAGGAAGCGTGGGGTGACTTTCCAGGAAGGCGCGGGGCGTGGGTGGACGTGGGGAGGCTGTATGAGCAGCGGCAGGTGGCGCTGGTGCTGGATGGGCGGGGGAACGAGGTGGGGCCTCGGGAGACTGTGCGCGGAGGGGGCGGGGGGGAAGGGGAGGGGAGGGAGGAGGACGGAGGGGGGTTTGGGGCGCCGCACGAGTGCCCGTACAACTGCTCGGGCGTTGGCGTGTGTGACAGAGGCAGCCTCACGTGCACGTGAGTGATTGCTGGCGTGACGGCCCTCACATGCCCCGCACTCTACTCTCGCCATGCTTCTCAGCACCCGGGATGGCTCCTCCCGTTCGTTCCCTTGTCCCTTGGCAACTCGGCTCAAGCTTCTCTGCCCCCGTCCCCTTATTCCGCCACCACTCGCCCACCCCCCAGCTCGGTGTGCTCGGGTTGTGTCCTGCCGGCTGTGAGCACGTGGGCTGAATTCCCTCCCGGCCCCATTCATCCCATTCAGCACGTCTCAAACTCCCCTTTCCTCCTGCCCCTCCTCGTCGTTCATTGTGCCCCCCACCAGCTGCCCTGCGCTCTACTCAGGCGCTGGCTGTGAGCAGCCGGGCTGGCTGCCCTTCGACTGCTTCGGGGCCTGTGGCGCTCACAGCATGGGGGGGGAGGGGGAGGGGGAGGAGGGGGAAGAGTATGGAGGGGACGGGGAGGGGGAGCAAGGTGGGGGGAGAGGAGCGGGCGGCGAGTGTGTGGAGGGAGTGTGCAAGTGTGCGCGGGGCACGTTTGGCATTGACTGTGCACTTTCCCTCGACGCCCACGGCGCCACCACTCTGCACCGCCGCAGACCCTTCCTCTGGACCGACGCCGTCCCGCCGTCCTCCCCTGCCCTCGTGTCCGCTGCCCGGCCGAAAATCTTTGTGTACGAGCTGCCCGGGTACTTGAACACGTGGCAGGGCGTGCTGGGGGCGGGGAGGGGCCGGTGGGAGGGGTATGTGTTTCTGGATGCGCTGCTGACGTCAGCATGGCGCACTGCTGATCCTGAGGAGGCTGACCTGTTTTACGTGCCCCTGCTGCTGCGGTGAGTTGTCATTCAGTCAGCATTTAGTCAGTGTCTAGTCAGCACCTAGTCAGCGTCCAATCTGTACCTTGTCGCACCTTAGTAGTGTGTGTGTCATCCTGAGTTGCGTGAGAACAGCTACTTTATCCTTCCAGGTGGGTGCACCTCAAACCTGAACCTCAAACCTGCACCTCACACCTGCACCTCAAACCTGACCTCAAACCTGCACCTCAAACCTGCACCTCCAACCTGCACCTCAAAGCTGCACCTCAAACCTGCACCTCAAACCTGCACCTCAAACGTGCACCTCACACCTGCACCTCAAACCTGCACCTCAAACCTGCACTTCAAACCTGCACTTCAAACCTGCTCTTCAAACCTGCACCTCAAACGTGCACCTCAAACCTGCACCTCAAACCTGCACCTCAAACCTGCACCTCAAACCTGCACATTGATAGCCCACTCCCCATGCTTGCATCGCCTCCTCCCTGCCCTGCCACAGGCACCGAGGCACAGCGAAGCAGAGTGTGCTGTCGTGGGCCATCGAGCACATAAGGGACGCGTGGCCCTACTGGGACCGCCACGCTGGCGCCGACCACGTCTTCCTCGCCAATGATGACTGGGCGGCATGTGAGGTCGGCGAAGCCGGGCGGCGAGACCCGATGCTGGCACGCAGCACAGTGCTGTCGCTGTGGGGATACTCGGGGAACATGCCGCTCGATGCCGCCCTGCCTGGCTGCTTCATTCCCGGGCAGGATGTTGTTATCCCGCCCGTTCTGCTGCCCGAGGTGTATGAGGCGGCCATGGGCGTGCAAGGAGAAAACGGGCATTCTGGTGGCCGGGATATTTTCTTCTTCTTCCGCGGGTTCGATGGGCGGGATGTGGAACCAGTGTTGGGCTTTAACTACTCGTTTGGGGTGCGGCAGGCCCTGTTTGACTGGTTTGACTCGCTTGACTCCGCTGCTGCTGTGCCCAAGGGGTTTGTCATAGAACGCACACCGGGGGAGGGGGATTTCGGGGAGGGGCAAGGAGGAGTGGGAGGGGAGACGGGCGGAAAGGGAGGGTACTTGGAGCAGATGGCTCGGTCGGTGTTCTGTCTGGTGGCCGGCGGGTGGGGTGCTGATGAGACGGCCACTCAGGCGGTGACACTCGGATGCATCCCAGTGATAATACAGGTGAGATGTCCTTTCTTTTCCAGCTCACGAACAACTTCTTTAATCCACCCTAATGTCATCCTTGTGACTTTGCCTAAATTATCTTTCTCACTCCCCCCTCCCCCTCCCCCCCCCCCCCTCCTCTTCTCTCCCAGCCCAATGTGAGCATGCCTTTTGAAGGTGATGGTTTTCTGGACTGGGACGACTTCTCAGTGAGGCTGACTCCTGCAGACATTCCCCATCTCCACGGCATCCTCACCAGCATCCCTCCACAAGATCTCGCTCTGAAGCAAGCTGCGCTGCGGCGAGTGTGGGTGCATTTCGCATGGGCAAGTTTGCAGTACAATCCCTTTTCTAGGATCCTTGAGAAGGAACAAGGCGAGTTGGCACGAGATGTGGCTTCATCGGGGGCGTTCCGTAGTGTCATGAGGGCTTTGGTGCAAAGAAAGCAGTCAGTCAAGTTAAGATATTCGAATTCTTGAGCACTTGCTCAGTCCCTTTTTTAAGTGTGAAATGCATGTATGTTAATTATTACGAACTAGATAGCCAGAAGATCCTGCAGATGTTTCTGGACTCTTCCGTAATGCGGATTCCCGAATGAGGGAATGAATTCATGACAGTCCCAAGGTTGCGCAGAATGGCCGTTTGGGCACCCACAATCGATTTGCCCGACAGCCGCCAGAGCGGCGCAGACCATCCAACAGCGCACACGGGGACTGTCAGCCAGCCGAAACTCCGCCCGAGCTGACGGAGCGAAGTCACACGCCAGGAAACTCGGCATTCCCAAGGTGCAAGGCAGCGGCGGCGAACCAACATCGCTGGAACCCCAGCAGTGTGAGTCCATCCATGACAACAGGATGAACCCTGTCACGGATTCATCAATTCACCTCCATCCAGCACGCGATGGATTCATGACTCTCACCAGCCTAGCCTCGGATTCTCACATGCACTATTCCCTTGAGACCATCAGATAAACCACTTGTAACTGCTTAGTCCGTCCACCCTCGGTAGCATCCTTAGCCTTGTTGGTCGTTAGCTTCTGTTGCACGCTAGGCGTTAATCAGTGCTCCTTAGGAGCGAGCGTCGCTGGATGGTTGGCGATCTGGCTGGGCGCGAGCTCCTGCGAGGGGTGCAGAGCACGTTGATGCCGCGTGCCCGCGAGTTCGCCGCGCGAGCAGGCCGGGATCCACTCGCCTGCCTGTCCTGGAGCCGAATCGGCCCTGGTGCTCGAGTTCCCACCGTTAGCGGCGAGATTTGCGGAAGCGTGGTCGGAGTGGTGGTCGGGGTTTCGCCGGTCGTTGCGGGAGGACTGGGTGACGGCAAGGTGACGCGGCACGGGGAGGGGAGATACACGGTCGGTGGGTGAGGCCATGGCGAGCGGAGGGGAGGCCGGGGTGGCGGTCGCAGACCCGCGGAACGACGAGCGTATGGAGCGACGCGACGAGGGATCCCATGCTGACGTGGAGGAAGCGGATGATGACGGGATGATGGACCACTTGAGCGACCCGGGTGTTTATTTCCAGCAGGAGTCAGCGAACGACGCGGCGCTGTCGCAGGCCATGCGATGGTGCAGCCCGGACGACGACGTCGCGAACAAGTCCAACTATTCGCACACGACGCCGGTCAGCCCTACCGCAGGAGACCTAAATGGCTCTCCTGAAGGGGGTCGCGGGGACGCGGAGTTGGCGCGCGAGGAGGCGGAGAAGCGCGCGTCGCTAAGCGACGCGTCGGTGGAGAATGTCGCGCTGTGGAGTCGCAGTCGCACGACGATGGAGCACGACGACTACGACCGCATGTTCGACGCGCACGGCGGGCTCCAGCTGGGCGGCGACCGCGGTAAGATGCGTGCAGACGGGGACGCGGAAGACGAGGAGGGTGAGAGGGACGAGAGGGACGAGAGGGGGAAGTTTGAGGAGGGTAGGGACGAATCGTGTGGTTATCGGGATGAGACGGGAGCCGACAGATTCGGCGTGAATGGAGATTATGATGACGATGACGATAACGATAACCGTCACGGGAGTGATGACGTCATGGGGTTCCAGTTCTGGCGCACGTCGCTTCCGCAGGACGGCAGCGCGGACGGGCAGCACGCGGACGACGCGGAGTCGGCGCACGCGGCGGAGTACGGTACAATGTGGCACAACATGACGGGGCACCTAGAGAATATGAAGGACGACTGGGCGGAGGCGCAGGCGGTGGCGGAAGGGGAGGCGGGGAGCGGGAGCGAGGCGGAAGCGGACGACGATACGCGGAGCCAGGCGTCCGCGCACTCCGACACGGCGCTGCTCCTGGATCACCTGCAGCTGGGGGTGTCCGGGCCGCTGTCGGTGCTGCCGTGGGACGAGGAGGCGGAGGAGGAGGCGGCGCAGGAGGCTGCGCGGGATGCGCGGGAGGAGATTCGCGCGGCACGGGCGGAAATGTACTTCAGTCCGGAGGCGGAGGAAGCGGAAGCGCCAAGAGGGGGAGAAGAGCCGTTTTCCCTGGGCCCGTCCGCCGTCGATGCTGGGGGCGTGGATGGCCTTCCGCAGCGGGACGCTTCCGCCATCCCCGCCGCAGAGGACGTTGGCGCGGGGGATTCCGCAGCCAGTGAGGGCGCAAGCAGCGACCAAGCGGGGCGGACTGAGCCCCGCTCCGACATGCTTCTTCCGCGCATCCGCACCACGGGGGACCTCCTCCTTGCCTGTCCGCCCACAGGCGCATCTTCCCCCGTCGGCGCAGCCGCAGTCGGCGCGGACGCGGTTGCTGCGGACGTGCAGTCCATGCCGGAGCTTGGGGACGTGCAGCTCTCCGCAGCGGAAGGAAGCGCAGGCGCGGGGGCCATAGGCGCGGGGGAGGGCATTGGCGGAGCGATTACCGCGGGGAAAGCGCCAGGAGAGGCGAAGGAGGCGGGGAAGGCGGGGGAGATGACGGCGATGTGGCTGGCGGGCATGCCGCGCGTGGAGGCGTGGGTGCGCTGCCTCCCGCGCGGGCAGTGGGAGCCGTCTGAGAGCATCGAGCACTGGAGCAGCATCGGCAGCAAGGGCGGCGCCAGCAGCAGCAGCAGCGCGGTACTCCCGCCGCATTCCCCCCCCGCACCCCACCACCACCACCACCATTCCTCCAGCGGCATGAGCAAGCGCTCCATGTCGCACGGCCACATGCACGGGGGGGGCGCGGCGGCGGCGGGGAACCTGCAGGCGGCGGTGGCGGTGGGGGCGGCGGTGGCGGTGGGGGCGGCGGCGGCGGCGGAGCATGCGGGGAGGGTGGTGCGCGGGCTGGACAAGCACGCGGCGGCCGTGTACCTCTCCATGCGCGGGCTGCTCGTGGTTCCGCCGCTGGGCGCGTTCTCGTCGCTCAAGACGCTCGACTTATCTCGCAACAACATCAGTGAGTGGGGCGCGCGTGCTGCTCCATGTGTGCAACCTTGTCATCCCCCCTCCCCACCAACCCTCCCTTCCACCCCCCCCTTACCGCCTTGTGTGTGCTGCTTGGAAGCTGGCCCTCCCTCCTCCCACGGTGTCTTTCATCCCAGTAAAAGGCTTGGTACCTCTTTCAAAGAAAAGCCGTTGAATAGGGCATAGATATACAATGCCCTCGCCGTGGGATGGTAAGGAGCAAAAACAGATTGGTTGAGGAAGGATTCCATGGCGATGGACCTTTAAGGGACCAATGGGGGGCTGGTCGTGCACAGATGTTTTGGAACTCACGTGTGCAAGCGTTGAATTAAACACACAATATACCTCAATCTCCATCTATCCTGGCAAGCTAGATTCTAATATACCACTCACCCCCTGATTTCCTAACCCCACTCCCTGCCCTGGTAACGGCAGCGTCGGTGGCAACGGGAGTGCTGCCGCGGTCGCTGCACATCCTGGACCTGTCGCACAACCGCCTGGCCGCCGTGGAGGGGCTGCGAGAGCTCTCACGCCTCAAGGTGCTCAACCTCTCCAACAACCGCCTCGCCCGCATCGGCCACGGTGCGTGCACGGGGGACAGGGGGTGGGCAGCACGGTGTGTGAGGTGAAGGGGTGCGATAGGTTGCATTTGTTAGGGCATGTGAGGGAGGGGCTCCGAGAGCTCTCGCGCCTCAAGGTGCTCAACCTCTCCAACAACCGCCTCGCCCGCATCGGCCACGGTGCGTGCAGGGGGGCGTAGGGTTTAGGGCAATAGAGTGGGCGGCACGGTGCGTGCAGGGACAGGGGGTGGGGCTGCACAGAGAGGGTGGGCAGAATGCCGTGTCCAGGGCATATGGAGGGTTACACAAAGTGTTAGAGATGAGGGTGATGGTGGTTGGGGTAAGTGGGGGCGGGATGGATGTGTGCGTCCCGAGTCCCCCTTCTCCCTCACATCATCCCTGCTCTCCTTCACCTCCCACTGCTCGTTCCCCACCTCCAGGGCTGTCGGGGTGTGTGGCGTTGAGGGAGCTGTACCTGGCGGGCAACAGGGTGGGCGAGGTGGAGGGGCTGCACCGCCTGCTCAAGCTCACCGTGCTCGACCTGGGTGCCAACAAGGTCACCACCACCAAGGCCCTTGGCCAGCTCGCTGCTAACTACGCGTCGCTGCGTGCGCTCAACCTCGCGGGGAACCCCATTCATGTGAACCTTGGGGACGATGCGTTCAAGCGGTATCTCATCGGTGCGTTGGGGGATGCTGCTGCATGGGTGGGCTCACGCATGCTGATGCTTGTAGGGGGAAGGAGGCCTGGTTCCGGTGTGTTTGTGTGTGTGCATCTGGCTGGCTGTCACATGCACGCGACCCTCTCATTCCCATCTTCACCACCCAACCCCTCCAACCTTCCCTCTATCCCCCCCAGGCCTGCTGCCCCAGCTGCTGTACCTGAACCAGCGCCCTATCAAGACGCCCTCGTCACGCGACGCGCTCTCCGACCCGCTCAAATCGCGCGGGGCCGGCGCGCCCCAGCTGCACCACGGGCACTCCTCGCGCTCTGCCTCCCGCACCGTTGGTACCAGCACCTCACGGCACCGCACTGGCGGGAGCAGCAGCAGTGGGCTCCGGAAGGCTGCGACGGGAGGGACGAGCGGGTCGGCGAGTGGAGGGGGGTCGAAGGATGGTCACCACAGGACGCACCATGGGTCGAGCAGTGGGGCTCACCATTCGTCGCGCACTCGCACGGCCACGGGCGGGCATTCGACGCATCGGAGTAGGTCGGGCGTGGCTAGTGGGAGCAGTGCAGGAGTGGGGGAGAAGTCTCGGCATCACCACCATCATCACCATTGAAGTGGATGCCTTTCGGTCGAAAACTGCTTAGATGAGTCGACAATTTTTGTGGGTATGCCCAGTCCGTATCTAGGTGGGTCGTTGTGTGCTCTAGTTCTTCAATGGTTTGTTTCCCATGGTTAAAGCTTCGTGTTGTTTTATCTGATCAGATGTTTGAGAGTTTCAGTTTGTGGTGTGTGGCAGGAAGGTTAGCAACTTAGCATGGGGCTCCTGTTTGCTTCAATATTTTGTTGTCAAATGCTTTGTAGTAACAGCTCGCTGAACTCAGAAGACCATGTGAGATTGCAATTCTACACTTGGTCCTCGATATCTCCGTTACCCCCAAGTACGAGTGCCCAACGTCCATCCATCACAAAGTCATCTCCTGGGTTCTTGGTTGCGCCACGTTTCATGATCCGACCATTGCCTTTCCTTCACGATGATTGGTACGCGAGTTCTCACATGAGTACGGCCGCCAATTGTATTCCTGTACGGTGTGGCGTACGGGCAGCACGGCAGCGACAGATGAAACTGGCGAGAATGACTGGCTGGGTTCATCAGTATCATCAGACAGCTCCGGAACAATTCGTACTTGCCGCGTCCTGCAATCACTCCACTGTGAAATACGCGAAGCGAGCGAAGCGAGGAGCAGGCAAGGAAAGGAGATTTTTGCTCAATCCCGCGGAATCGCGGTTCATTTTATTATCGCCACGTGGCATGCCTTCGATCGCGGGAACCGGGATCTGTTTTATTGTTCCCACAAATTTCAAGAGAGATTTAGTTAAGCTTAGTGGGTCACATGTACTGTCCTGCCCGCGAGCAAAAATAAAACCCCTATAGGAAAGGCATGTGTTAGGGATGCATCAACCCTAAACACCTAGAGGCAAGGTGTTTAGGGGTGATGCCTCCCTAACGCATGCCAAGGCCCGAATGGGTTTTATTGTTGCCCGCGGGCAGTGCAGTACATAACTTAACTAGATTTCTCTTGAACTTTGTGGGATAAATAAAACAGATCGCGGTTCCCACGATCGAAGGCATGCCACGTGGCGATAATAAAACGAACCGCGATTCCGCGGGTTTGAGCAAAACTCTCCAAGGAAAGGCAGTTCCAAACAAATCCCAAGGTCCAACGGTCCGTCTGGATGCTACGCACTCACCTCCACCAGTCGCTCGTAGACTCTAGCTTGCTCTCTCCCACCCAGAGCAGCCATTTGCTGCCTCCACGCGCGTGTGCGCCTCAAGCTCCTATCTGCGCTGGACGATGCCAGCAGACGCGGTCTGAGAAGCTGGAAAGCAGCACTGCGAATTTCGTGGCTGGTTGGTTCGGCGGCCATGGCTGATTCATCTGACGTGTGCTTCCAACGCAATATGGAAATGAAAGCTACAGTATTCGCATTCCCGTCTGGCAGGATTACGCCAGCACGCATTGAATTGGGTTGTTTGTGAAGTTTCCGACCTGTTTTCCTTCGCAACAGCAATTCTCGCGACCTTCTTAGGCTTTCTTCTTCTCGCTATAGAAATTCATTAGTCTGCATTAGGTCGATCCGTGGTCAATTTAGTAAGAGTGACTCTTACGACGATTTGCTGTCTGTTAGCTGCGCATCACATCGTACAGTCTCTCCGTCCAGCGCAAATGGGTCCGTCTTCGTCGCAACGCGATTCCACTTCAGAAGTCTCCATAGTCGTTCCTCTGCTAACCAACGGAAATGATGCCGTAAAAGTAGCCGCAAACGGCGGCGAAGATCCCCAGCAGGACGGATATCTCCCGCTTCTAGAACCATCGCTCAGCCGAGGCTCCACGGGAAGCGACGCGGTGCTGTCGCTGGGCCCTTGCCGGCGGCCGTTACCGCGGTGGCAGGTGGTGGCGTACGGTACGGGGCACATGCTGAACGACATCACGGCCGCGTGCTGGTTCACATACCTCCTCATTTACCTCTCCGATATCGGCCTCTCCCCGCAGTACGTCCCCACGCCCTCTCCCCGCAATGCGTCGTTTCGGTCGCCCTTGTACGTACGCGGTACTGGCCTTCCAAATAATCACGTGCATCTGATTCCTCTAAGTACGACCTACTGTCAGTAAGTCAGCATTGGTCTGTCATGAGGGACGGTTGAGAGTCGGTCTGAAGCGGAAATTGCTCACAGGATCAATAGCTCCCTTCCACTCTGAAGAATAGCTTTCAGATTTATGCGAGCGACTGGTAGTGAGCTTGGGTGCCTGGAATGCACCTGAATGTTACAATTCGTGCTTGAATTGGTGGCACATTTTGATGAATCTTAGTTAGCCGTTCTATTCACCGAAATTGCCACTGACATCTCCCTTCCTCTCGTTTTCCTCTCCCTCCTCGCTCTCGTCTTACCCCTGTCCCCGCCTCGCCCCTCGCTGGTTCATGATCCCCGGATCCACGGGCGCGTGTGCAGGCAGGCGGGCGTGGTGATGCTGTCGGGGCAATTCGCCGATGCTGCTGCCACCCTCGTCGCCGGCGAGCTGGTGAGTGACACGCATGGGAGCGTTGGGGGCAGTGGTAGGCATGGGAAACGTAGTTTTAATGGTAGCATTGGGAACATGGGTGGACAGGAGTAGTGGGCGTAACAGGTGGGAATATGAGACAAAACAGCCGTGAACGATATGCCACAGTGAAGAGCATTCCCATCTTGTTTAGTAAAGGTGGAAATTATGCCAACAACCCTTGTCTTCCCAGACTCATGGTCTCTACAAAAGACGTTTGCAGCAGCAAGAACACAATGCGTGTGTGGGCATTAGACGACACCTTCTTCCCCCGATCGCACTGTCCTTCGCAACCCCATCAGATCGACCGGTTTGGGCATTACAAGCTGTGGCACTTTGGCGGGTCGGTGTGCACCGTGGTGTCCTTCTCATCTGTCTTCGGTGGCTGCCTCGTGTGCCGCCTGCTCGCCTCCAACTCCACGCTCGTTGAAACCGCCAGCTACAGCGTCTTTGCTGCCGTCTTCAACTGCGGCTGGGCCGCCACCCAGGTGTCTCACATGTGCGTGAGTGGGGCAGGCAGGTGTGCCACACAAGTGAGCGTGGCTGGCTTGCTGGCCAGGGCTTAGGGGCGAGCTGAGCCTGCCAATGCTGTGTGAGCATGCGAGTGCAGAAATTCTGTTCTCGAAAGCACCCCTGCGCACTTTCACACTCCCACGTTCTCCCCTCTCAAACACACATCAACTGCCTTCCTCCCCCATCGCACCCACACCCCCTGACATCCCCTCCCCCCTCCCCCTCAGCACCCGCATTGTCCCCTTCATACACATCCAAACCCTGCCCTTCTCCGCCCTCTCCCTCCCACTCCCCCTCCCACTTCCCTCCCTCTCCCACCTTTCCCACAGGGCGATGGTGAACTGTCTGACGGCCAACCCCAGCAGCAGGGTGGCGATGAACAGCTGTCGCAACGCCTTCACCATGATCGCCAACCTCGCCCTCTTCGCCATCGCCCTCGTCGCCTTCTCCCTCTTCCCCGCCCACGACCCCGCCCAGGTGTGCTTTCGCCCTCCCAGCTGCCCACAACTCTTCCCAGGTGCCCACAACTCTTCCCAGCTGCCCACAACTCTTCCCAGCTGCCCACAACTCTTCCCAGGTGCCCATGACCCCGCCCAGGTCCCCGTGACCCCGCCCAGGTCCCCGTGACCCCGCCCAGGTCCCCATGACCCCGCCCAGATGCCCGTGACCCTTTCCAGATGCCCATGATCGCTCCCAGGTGCCCACCACTCTTCGTAGGTGCCCATGATCCCACCCAGGTGCCCATGACATGGCCCTTTCCAGGTGCCTGCTCATGATGGGCACATGCTGTACTGCCAACACACCTCCTTGTGAACGGCCTTCTTGAAACAATATCTGCTGTTGCTGTTCAATCGGTTGGACCTTGCGATTTGCCTCAGCATGCCATTTAGACCAACATAAGAGCTGGGGCTTCGCAATTCCATTAATCTTCCCTCACATCTCACCACGAACAGGCACAGTACTGATGGATCTTCCCCCAACCCCTTCCTCTCACACCCTCCTGCCCCTACCTGTCCCCCTCCCCTTCTCTTCCCCTTTTCCCCCTCTCCAGGTGCAGGCACAGTACCGGTGGATCTCGTTTGTGGCGCTCACCTCGGGCGCTGCCTTCCTGCTCATCTTCTATGCCGGGGTCAGCGAGCCCACGTGAGTGCCACGCCCTGCCGTGCCGTGCCGTGCCGTGCTGTGCCGTGCCGTGCCGTGCTTGTGTCAATCAACCCAGAGTCATGTGTATGTGCGTCATCAGTACGCACCACCACCAATTTGTCCCTTCTCTCTCCTTGCGTCTTGCCTCTCCTTCCTTTCCTCGCCTCGCTCGCCTCTTCCCCTCGCCACACCCCAGTGTCTCCCGAGTGCCAGTGCGCCTGCCCTCCTCTCGCTCCTTCTGCACCGACCAATCCGCCGATGACAGCACCGACCAATCAGAGCAGTGGGCAGCCAAGGCGGCGGAGGAGCAGGCAGTGCCAGCGTGGCTCTTCTGGTTCCGCCAGCTGGCATACTTCCAGGTGGCGGCTGTCTACATGTTTGTGCGACTCATCACCAATGTCTCCCAGGTCAGCACAGAAACAATGATTTCACCCAAATCAGGAAGTAAGCAATGATATGTCCCAAATCAGGAAGAAAATAATATTATTTGCCATCAGGAAGGAAAGCAAAGCAATAGTATTTCTCAGGTCAGCAAGTATTTATATAAACCTTGCGCCCCTAATCATATTCAAGCCCTTGTGCTCAGCGCACACAGTACTGATCTCACACTCCAGTCCTAAACCGTCTCTCTCTCTCCTCCCCACTTCCTCCCTCCCTCCCCCCAACCTTCCCTTCCCCCTCCCCCCAGGCCATGCTGCCATTCTTCCTCATATTCGACCTGGGGCTGCACCCCTCCGCCAAAGCCACTGTGAGCCTCCTCCTCGCCCACCGCTGCCCTGCCTGTGCCGGATGGAAACTGCTTTTCCTGTTCTCACTGCCTGTTCTCACTGCCTATTCTCACTGCCTGCTGACGCTCATTCATTTCTCCTCCACATCCCCTCCCCTCTCCCTTTCGCCCTGCCCCCTCTCTGCACCATGCCACACGCCGTCATATAACAGCGCTCATTCATCGCTCTCCTTCAATTCTCCTCCCCTCTCTTTCCCTACCCTTCTCTCCTCCCCTTCCCCCTGCCCCTCACTGCGCCCCGGCACGCCCATCAGATCCCAGCGCTCATCTTCATCTGCAGCTTCATCACCTCCATCGTGCTCCAGGTAATCCCAACTCTCCCCCTCTCACTCATCTCACTCTGCTTCAACAAATCCCCTCTCACTCACTCTCACTCATCCCATCATTCTCCCAATTTCTCAATTCCCATCTCGGGCAATGCCTCTGCTCCCTCCTCTTCTCAACAGGAGCTACATTGGGACATGGGGCGCATGAGGGTGGCGTTCAGCGTGGGAGCAGTGCTGTGGGCGGGGGCGAGTGCGGCATTCCTCTACGTGGACGCGGGGCCCTCCATGGACCTCGTTGTCTATGCCCTCGCCCTCGTTGTCGGCATCTCCAACGCCCTCATGCTCGTACGCCCCCCCTCCTCCCCTACCCCTCATGTTTGCACTCCCCTCTATAGCGTCGTAGCACTCTTCTGGGCGTATTCTCATGCCGTTGCAATCCCTTCTATCACTTCACTCATACTCGCCCGTGCACGCCCTGTCACCACCATACTGTGTCGACTCCATTGTCTGCTTCCCCAGTGCCCCTCCTGCTCTCCCCTTTTCCTCCATTTCCCCCATCCCATCCCATCCCATCCCATCCCATCCCATCCCATCCCATCCCATCCCATCCCATCCCCATCCCATCCCATCCCATCCCATCCCATCCCATCCCATCCCATCCCATCCCATCCCATCCCATCCCGTCCCATCCCATCCCATCCCATCCCATCCCATCCCATCCCATCCCATCCCATCCCATCCCATCCCATCCCATCCCATCCCATCCCATCCCATCCCATCCCATCCCATCCCATCCCATCCCATCCCATCCCATCCCATCCCGTCCCATCATCCCATCCCCACCCATCAGGTGACGGCAACGAGTCTGGAGGGGGTGTTGGTGGGGCAGCATGTGTCGGTGTGTGCCTTTGTGTACGGCTCGCTGTCCTTCCTCGACAAGTTCACCTGCGGCATCGCCCTCGTCGCCATCCAGGCCTTCAACTGTCAGTCCCTCCCACGCCCCCAACCATGCCCGCCTTGCCATAACTCATGTCTCTCTCGCTGCCCCCCCCTGCCCCCTGCCTGCTGCTTGGTTCCTGTATGAGTGGACATGTGACTGGGCATGTGACAGTGTCTAGCACTCCCCTCACTACGCGGCTAATATCAGTATGAATGCTGCTGTGCTATCCCTTCCTCTGCTGTGCCATGCTCTGCTGTTCTGTGCAGCAAAAGAAGAGTTTTGTGGGCCAACCAGCCCCACCTGCCCGCGCTCTATTGTGCGGTGGGTCCTTTTTCTGCTGCCCCTCGTTTCCTCTCTCCTGGCGGGCGGCATTGTGCTCACGACACACCTGGACGAGTCTTCAGATGAAATCACCCAGCCATCGTTAGAGAGCCCCTTGCTTGGCAATAAAAGTTCAGCTCGGGGCATCGATTCATGATTCTCAGGAAGGTAGCGCACCTTCCACAGGATTAATATATAAGGCTGTAAATGTGTTACTGAAAGGAGATGATAGATGATCTGTTCTTTCATGTATTAGTAAAAGCACAAGGCGGTGTATTTTCCTCGCATCTGGCTTCTCGTGTTCGGTACGGTATTACCGAGGGTTGTAGCCACTTTTGATAAACACGTGACCACCACCAACCAACGTTCACTAGACCACTTCAGTTCCATGATCAGTCGCAAATCCCTGTACTTGGGAATCCCTTCTAGGACCACCACAATACCTGTCCTGACCAGGCAGGATATCGTTTTTCTTTGGCAGTGCGTGAGAGCAAGTTGAGTCGCGGACGCCGTGGGACTTCGTCGCTGCGACGCCGGCCGCACTCTCAGCGGCCGCGATGTCGAAGCGGAAGCAACAACGCAAGGCCAAGGCGGCAGGTCAAATCGCAACCGCGCGGACACCTGTTGGGTCGTCCGCAGCTTTTGAGAGTGCCACGTCAGCGTGTGACGACCAATCAAAGAGTGCCACGCAGGCAGCTGAGCTACCGACTAGCGTCAGTGATGCTGATTCGTCGCAAACAGCTTCGGCTGATTGTATTCCTGGATCGGAAGTTTCAGCGAATGATGCGATGGTGGGTGAGGAAGAGGACGAGTCGCGGACTCGCGTTGCCACGTGTCATCACCACAAGGGTTTAGATTTGAAGAAGTTCACTCGCGAGCTGAAGAAGCGCCACGTGGATGCGTGCGATCCGTGCAGCCAACACAGCCTCCGAATGGCCAGCAGCAAGAAGAAGGAACAGGCGGCGCTTATAACGGGTATAGCGGAGGAGTCCCTCTGGGTGTGCCTGGTGTGCGCGCGAGGGTTTTGCGGAGATGCGGTAATGGCGGAAGGGGATGCGGAAACAGGGAAAGGAAAAGGGGATGGCGGAACGGAAGGGGAAGGGGAAAGGGAAGGCGTTAGCGCGCGGGAGAGCGGGCACGGGCACGCGCGGCAGCACTGGGGGCAGCTGAAGAGCCACGCGCTGATGGCGCACGCGCAGTCCTTGCGCGTCTGGTGCTTCCGCTGCCACCGCTGCGTGCTGCTGCGCGCCGATGGCGATGTACGCCCGCAGGCAGATGGCGCCGTGTGTGCACAGGCGGAAGAAAAATCGGTGGGGGAGGGGGCGGAGGGACAGGGGGAGGCGCGGAGTGACACGTCAGCGAATGCTGCGACCACCCATGCGAGTGAAGGGGGGAGCGCTGCTGGGGGTAGTGTTGCGGGGGAAAGTGCGCCATGGGCGCAAAGCCTCCCCTTGGACCATCCGCTCCGCGAGTTCCTCCTGCTGCTGGCGGAGAGGCGCGCGGAAGTGGCGCGCGCTAAGGCGGCGGAGCAGAGCAAAAAGGGGTCGACGGAGGGGGATGGCGGGGGGACAGCGGCGGAGACAGGGGAGAAGCGAGGGAAGGCGAAGGAGGGGCGGGGTGAGGTGGCTGCTGCGAAGGGGAGAGAGAAGAAGAGCGGAGCGGGGAAGGCGGGGGTGTCAGCTGACAAGGTAGAGAAGGAGGCGGAAGAGGGGGAGAGTGGTGATGAGGAGGAAGGGGAGGGGGAGCGGCGGGCAGGCGCGGGGGGCGAGGGGCCGGTGCGCGGGTTGAGCAATCTGGGCAACACGTGCTTCTTCAACTCCGTCCTACAGAACCTCGTCGCGATTCCCGCTCTCCGAGACCACTTCCTCGCCAATCTGGAGCTGCCACGTGTCGAGGCGCCTGCTTTGGCGGAGACGGGGACAGAGAGGCGGGGCGATGGCGGAGGGGGCAATGAAGGTGCGGATGCGGATGGGGGGGATAAGGAGGGGTCAGAGGGGAAGGTTGGCGGGGGCCGGAAGGGGGGAGGAGTGAAGGTGGGGGGAACGAAGACGAGGTTCAAGGGGATCATAGGTATGGCCCTGAGACGCGTCTTTGAAGACTTGAATCCGGGCCTCGTGCCCGCTGCTACTTCTGATGCCGCTGGTGCCGTTGCTACTGCCGCCACAGGCAGCCAATCGGAGGAGAGCATCTGCAGTCCGCGCGGCCACGTGGCAAAGGGCAAGGCGCTCCACTCGCGCAGATCAACAGCCCGCGGGGGGGGAGGAGGAAAGCGGGGCGCGGGGGGGAAGCATGGCAAGGGGGGCGGGGGGAAACGGGCGCAGCAGCACGAGGCGGAGGGCAGGGCGGGGAAGGCGGCGCCTTACAATCCGCGGGAGCTGTTTGGAGCGGTGTGCAGGCATGCACCTCGGTTCAGAGGGTACGAGCAGCAGGACAGCCACGAGCTGCTGCGCTGCCTGCTGCAGCTGCTGCAGGAGGAGGAAGACGGCACCGCTGCTGCCGCCGCTGCTGCTGCCCGAAAGAAGAAACGCCAAGCTGCATCCGCTGCTCCCCCGCCCCCTCCCCCGCTTCCCCCCCCGCCCCCGCCTCGCGCTAATGCCCCCCCTCGCGCACCTCCCCCTCCTCCCACCCCGCCTCCGCCCCCGCCCCCTCCTCCCCCCTCCGCCCCGCCGCCTCCCCCTCCTCCCCCCTCCGCCCCGCCGCCTCCCCCTCCTCCCCCATCCCTCTCTGCGGCGAACGCTGCAGGAGGGGCAGGGGGAAAAAAAGAGGGGGGGAAGGCGGAGGGGCAGGGGGGTTCGGGGCCATTGGCGGGGTTGAGTGCGGGGCTGGGGCTGGCGATGGCGCGGCTGAGGCGCGTGGAGGGGGGCGCTGCTGCGGAGGAGGTGCAGCGAATGAGGGAGGAGAGGGGGGACGAGGGGGGGGAGGGCATGGGGCTGGGATGGTTGGAAGGCGAGGGGAGCGGGGAAGAGGCGGGCGGTGCGGGGACGGGGTGGGAAGAAGAGGAGCGGGGCGAGGGGGAAAGCGAGGAGGAGGACGAGGATGGGGAGGAGGCAGGGCGGGATGGGGAGGGGGGACGCGGAGGGGGAGGGGGAGAGAGTGGGAAGAGGTTGAGTGTGGTGGAGAGGCTGTTTGGCGGGGTGCTGAGCAGCACGGTGGTGTGCTGCGAGTGCGGGCACTCGTCCACTGTGAGCGAACCCTTCCTCGACCTCTCCCTCCCCATCCCCGTTGCGCCCCCCCCGCCCTCCCCCCTCGCGCACATGGCTGCACAGAGCAGCAGGAAGGCGCATGTTGGTGGGAAGGGGGCGGAGCTTGGCGAGTGGACGGCGGTGGAGAGGAGGGATGGGAAAGGCGGGCGGGGTGGCAAGGGGGAGGTGGCAGGGGGAGGGGAGGTGAAGGCAGAGGAAAGGGGAGAGGAGAGAGGGGAGGGAGGGGCGGTGGAGGGGGTGAAAGGGAGTGTGGTTGATGGGGAGGCGAACGGAGGACGCACAGGGACTGGCACAGGCAGTGAAGGTGGCGGTGGCATCAGCAGCAAGGGTAACGGTGACATCAGCAGCAATGGTGGCAGCGGCTTGAGTAGCAGCGAGCTGGAAGCAACGCCAGCGGGTCCTAAAGAAGGAGAGGAAGCGGCTGTGGCTGGTGGTGTGGCGGGTGACGTGTCAAGTGGTGGTGGTGTGGCTGGTGACGTGGCAGTTGGAGCCGCGGAAGAGGAACGGCAGGGAGCAGCAGTGGGAGAGGGAGAGGCGCGTACAGGCGAAGAGGCGCGTGCAGGGGATGGTGGCGAGGCCAGCAGCAGTGGCGCTGCTGTGCATGGCATTGCTACTGACGGGAGGGCTGTTGAAGGGAGGGCTGCTGTGGAGACAGGTGGTGAGGGGAGAGATGGCAGTGGTGAGCAGAGGGAGGAAGAGAGGGTGGGAGAAGAGGAGGGGGTCAGGGATGGGAGGGCGAGGCCGGGTGAGAGCAGTGCAGCCACTGGCACCTCCAGTGGGCCTGATTCCACCAGCAGAGAGGGCGGAGCAGGCAGCAGCTGTAGCAGCAGCGCCAGTGCCGTGGGGAGCAGTTGTAGCGTGGGTGGCGGCGTGGCAAGCAGCAGCAGTGCAACGGGCGCACAGGAGGGTGGCGTTGTGAGCTCGAGCACAGAGAAAGGGCGGGAACGGAGGGTGGGATTCCTGTCAGATCACCCAGAGCAGCCGCCGCTGTTGCAGCCGCAGCCGCAGCCGCCGCAGCTGTCACAGACGCAGGTGCAGCAGGCGAAGCAGCAGCAGGCGGCTGCGCGCATGTCGGTGGAGGGGTGTCTATTGGAGTTCAGTGCCGAGGAGGTGCTCAGAGGGGACGATGCTTGGGGCTGTGATGGCTGCACTGCCATCAGACGGAAAGAGGTGAGGCGCAGGCGGAGGGAGGAGAGACGAGGTAGGAAGGAGAAGGGTGGAGAAGGTAGTGGTGAGGTGGCTGCTGAAGGGGCGACGGGAGAAGGGACAGAGGGTGTGGGGGAGGTGAGTGGCGAGGCAGATGGGGTAGTGGTGGTGGCATCAAATGCGACCGCAGTAGTTAGCTCTGCAAATGATGGGATTGAAAGAAACGACGTGGCTGCAGAGAACAGTGTGACTGCAGCGAACGGTGTGACTGCAGCGAACGGTGTGACTGCAGAGAGCGGTGTGACTGCAGCGAATGGTGTGACTGCAGAAAATATTGACCCTGCGGCGAAGGATGCACCTGCAGCAGGCAGTGTGGCAGCAGTAGGCTGTTCCAGTGGCACTGATGACAGCAGTCATGTGGAATGCAGAGACATGGAGCATGTGACTCATGCTCCTGCCATTCCTTCTGCCGCTCCTGCTGCCGCTGGTGTTGGCGGTGGGGCAGGAGACGAACAAGGGGAGAATGAGGAGGAGGAGTCAGAGGAGGAGGCAGAGGGGGAGGAGGAGGGGGGGCGGGTGCGCAGTGAGGCTCGGAAGAGGTACCGGGTGAACAGAGCGCCGCCCGTGCTGGTGGTGCACCTCAAGCGCTTCCGCCATGACACCCGCGGCCGCCTCTCCAAGATCAGCGGCCACGTGGCGTTTGGGGAGTGGCTGGACCTCAGCCCCTTCGTCGACCCCCTGCCCCTGTGAGCCCTCCCTTGCACGCCCTCCATTGCATGTCCGCCCCCCCTCGCTCTTCCTTTTGCTCTTGCTTGTCGCTCAATATTGTCAGAAACAGCCGCTGGCCCATAATTGCTGCCTCCCTGCATACCTGTGTCCCACTGCGCCTCCCTGTGATCTGCTAACCACTCACTCATCAATTCTCTCCCTTTTCGCATGCCCTCTGATTGCCCCCATGTGTCACTGTCACATGGCCACACAGTAACCCACCCACGCACACCGCACCATCACCATCAGCATCATCATCGGTACCACCCAAGCCGCTGCACACACCGCAGGTGCCTCTAGCCGTGCAGACAGGTGGCGAGGCGCCATTGGATGGTGTGTTGGAGGACCAGTCCCAGTCCCAGATTGAGGCTCAGGCAAAGGGTGAGCCCCACCGGTACCGGCTGTGTGGGGTGGTGGAGCACAGCGGCACGATGCGAGGCGGGCACTACGTGTCTTATGTGCGGCGCGGCTGGCAGCAGCAGCAGCAGCAGCAGCAGCAGCAAGGGGCTGGAGCGGATGTGCAAAGCAGTGGGGAGGCAGAGGCAGAAGCATGCAGTGGAGCGGAGCTGGTGCAAGCAGGTGGGGTAGAGGGTGGCGGGATCACAGGGAAGATCAATGGGATTACTGCAGAGGGTGATGGGGTGCTGGGGAAGGTGTGTGGTGGTGGGAGTGCAGGGCAGGCAGGGGAGAGTGGGGGATGGGAGGGTGGGCAGTGGTGGTACATCAGTGACACGCACGCCCAGGCATCGACCCTAGAGAGAGTGCTGCGCTGTGAAGCCTATCTGCTCTTCTACCACCGCATAGGGAGCTAGACCCATCCCATGGCTAGTGTTACGCTGATTCCCACAAGGGCCTGGTTTAGTTTATTTCCTGTGGTGGTTGCATTAGCCTTGGCAGTGGATCGGAAGTTGTGGGAACACTGCCGCCTGGATTGCTAGGCAACAAGGAGCAGCAGGGAAGTTTTACAAGAAATCCGTTGATAAGAAAAGCATTTATTAGAATCTAGTTCTTATCCACTGTTGTATTCGACATAGATGGTATTTGCAGATGCTGATAATACTGATGCTCAGGAGGAAACATATAGTAACGGACTTTCGCCGCCCCGAGTTTCGCATGGCGCAGAGTGGTCCTTCTCGTCTGGGCAGTGGTGCGCTGTACTGACAGCCTGGCGCCATCAAGCCAATCGGGTCTCACGATAGGGATTAGCCGGCGATAGAAAAAGGACCCTCGAGCTCGCCGTTCCGCCTGACTTGTGGTTGACGACGACACGGCTGGGAGTCGCTTGGCGACGTTCATTCGCTGCTATTCTCCGTGCGACGCTACATGCCCTCCCTGAGTCTCCAACACTTTTGTCCCACAAGTCCTGACCCGAATCCCGAATCCTGATTCCCGACCCGATCCCTCTGTTCTGTTTGACCAACCGAGCTCTTCCCCCAAATGCTCATCAGCTGGCTTTCTGTGATAATGTGGTAACAGCTGGAACTAGTTTGGTGAAAAGTTACCAAACAGCCAAGTGAAATCCATGGCCGCGCGCTGACAACCGTTCTCACGCTCTCCACTCGCCCGAAGCCGGCACTCCTCTGGACTGCCTCGCGCGTTATAATGGCTGACGATCAGCCTGCAGAGTCGAGTGGTAGGAGACGAGCCAGCCCGCGGAATGATTCTCAGCCTCCAGTGAACGCCGAGTCGCGGCTGGTTGTGGTAGAGGCTACGGATGCTGCACGCGATGAATGTCCGACTAGTAACGTCGCGGAGCCTAATGGCTGCGGAACCAGGGAGGCGGAGGACCGTCGGGGTGATGAAGGATCGTCGGCTGGGCCGTCAGATGTTAAGGCTCGTTCGTCGCGGAAATCAGGAGGACCTGCGAACGACCGCGAGACTGCTTCGCGTGGAAGCTGGCCTTTTCCCCCATGGGTGAGCAGCAAGCGACTGTCGACCGTCGCACCGTCCATCCGCAAATATTTCTCCGTCGACCGATGGCACGAGATCGAACGGTCATGGATGGACTGGGCTTTCAGCGTGAAGCTTCCTCCGTGGTTCCGCCGCCACGTCACCTTCTACCGCCTCCACGTCCTCTGCTTCGTTATAGTCATCCTCGTCGGCACCATTATCATGTACCTCATTCCAGGCGGCTCCGGCGGCAAGATGAGCTTCATAGACACACTGTACAGCGTGACGTCAGCCACGTGCCTGACGGGAATGATCAGCGTCGACGTTAACGTGTTCTCTGACGGAGCTAACGTTTTCCGTCTGCTTCTCATGATCATCGGCGGTCAGATCACGACGTCGCTCGTCCCCGTCTACGTCCGTCGGTTCTTCTTCCACCGGTACCTCTACCGTGAGGGCTACGTCACGCGTGGCGGCCGGCGAAGCGATCCCGTGGTGGCAGTACGCAGCGGGGAGAGAGGGAGAGTGGATGGGCTTGGGGAAAGCGAGGGCGATGAGGGCCTCGGGGTGCTCGAGGAGGAGCAGCAGCGCGCGTGCGAGGGCGAAAAGCAGGTGGACTCTCGCGAAAATGCTTCTTCCGAAAAGAAGGCTGAAGGGTTAGCGGCGGCAGCAGCCTTGAAGGTGTCGCCGATTGGGTCTAGCAGTGGCAGCAGAAGGAGGGAGGGTGCTCTCGTCATTCCCGTCAACGACGCCCCAGCTGCCTCGGACGTGGATGCCACGCGGCAAGATTCCAGCCAGAACGGTCCGAGATCTGCTCGCGCTGACGTGGACGCGATGCGGCTGGACAGCAGCCAGCACGGGCCGCGGTCTGCGCGGGAGGGCGAGCGGCGCATGTGGGACAGTCCGCGGGGCGCGCAGGCGCGCACGGCTTTGACCCCGCGGAGGGCGTTCGGGCTGGAGGACGCCCTTGAGCGCACGGTGGGGCCGCTGTCGGGGCGGTACCAGGCGGGGGAGGAGAACGCGTGGCACACGTGGTCGGGGGACGTGGCGCGCGCGGAGGGGCAGCGGCTGAAGCTGGCGCTGGAGATCATGCGCGTGCAGCAGCAGCAGCAGCAGCAGCAGCGCGGCAGTGAGCAGCGCCCGGGGCTGTTCCTCCAGCGCACCCTCTCGTCCAGCACCTGGCGGACCGACGACGCCGAGGGCGCCACCGCCGCCGCTGACGCTGAACTGCTGCCCATTGACCCGGGCGAGCGAAGGTTCCTGGAACTGAGGTGAGCAGGGAAGGTATGGGGAGGTAGAGAATAGGGAGAGGGAGGTTGGTGCGGCCGCTGGTAGCTGATGCGAGCAGTCGCTGCTGCCTGCTGTGGCGGAATGATTTCTCTTGTACACTGCGCTAACCTCCCCATCACCCCCGCCCCCCCCCGTCCGCCTCCCCAACCCCGTCCGCCTCCCCCTCCCCAACTCTCTTCGCCTCCCCAACCCCTATCCGCCGCATCTCTGGCGCCCCTATGTCCGTGCGCGTGTGGCAGGGCGCTGGAGTTGCTGAGCTGGCTGGTGCCCGTGTACATGGTGGTGGTGCAGGCCATGGCGCTGCTGCTCATGCTCGTCATCGTGTACGTCTCGCCCTCCGTCAGACAGGTCGTGGACAGCAACGGCGTCAGCCCCCTCTTCTTCTCCGTCTTCCAGGTGCCCTCCCTGCTCACTCACCCCCCCCTGTGCCCTCCCTGCTCACTCACCGCCCCCTGTGCCCTCCCTGCTCACTCACCCCCCCCTGTGCCCTCCCTGCTCACTCACCCCCCCCTGTGCCCTCCCTGCTCACTCACCGCCCCCTGTGCCCTCCCTGCTCACTCACCCCCCCCTGTGCCCTCCCTGCTCACTCACCCCCCCCTGTGCCCTCTCTGCTGCCCCTCGTCTCTGCTGCTCTCATATGCACACCTCATGTGCTCTGTGCCCCTTCTTGAAGCTCTTTCTGCACGCCATTATCACTGCCCTGGTAGCCATTATCACTGCCCTGGTAGCCATTATCACTGCCCTGGTAGCCATTATCACTGCCCTGGTAGCCATTATCACTGCCCTGGTAGCCATTATCACTGCCCTGGTAGCCATTACCACTGCTCTGTTGATCGTCATCCTGCTCCTCTCGTCCCTACGCCCATATCCCCCGTCTCTCCCCCCCACGATCCTGTCTCCCCAATGCTGTGTGCGGGGGGCGGGCAGGTGGTATCGGCGTTCACCAACACGGGGCTGGTGCTGCTCAACAGCAACCTCGTGGATTTCAACACCAACGTGCCGCTGCTGCTGCTGCTCTCCGCGCTCATCCTCCTCGGCAACACGCTCTTCGCCCCCATGCTGCGCGGCCTGCTGCTGCTGCTGCACCGCGCCGCCAAGGGCGAGCGGAAGGTGCGCGCTGCTGGCCACCGTGCTGCTCCCATGGCATGAGGTGGCATGAAGTGAAAGCGCCACCTCCGTCACATAATGCGACAGCACCACAGTCGCCACCTGCAGCGCAAGCACCACCACTTGCTGAGCCCTCTCCACTGCTCCCCTCCCCTCCCCCCTCTCTCCCCCCCGCGCCACCGCGCCAACCCGTCCAGGTGGTGTACGAGTACCTGTTGGAGCACCCGCGCAAGTGCTACACGCACCTCTTCCCGCGCTCGTCCACGCTGTGGCTCGTGGCCACCGTGGTGGCGTTCAACAGCGCTGAGTTCATCTTCTTCTGCGTCTTCGACTGGAACTCCACAGCCCTTGATGGCCTCTCCAGTGCGTGCTACACAACAAGCAGGAAGCAGGACAGGGAGGGGATGGGGGAGTGGGCTGTGTTGTGCGCGGTGCAGGGTGATTGGGGATGGGTTTTTTTTTCGCAGGCTGTTTTTTTCTTTTTTCTTTTTTCTTCTTCTTTTCCCACAATTAAAAAAAACGAAACGCTAGCTTCTTGTGTCACTTAAGTTCACATTCAACCTGCACCCGTCATCCCATTGATTCCACCTTGACCATCATCCAGGTGGCTTGTGAGGCTAAGTTGGAAAATACGCGTTTCGCGTTTCATACGCTAGCGTTTATCTGCTAGCGTATAAACGCCAAACGCTTATTGGGAAGGGTCCGGTACGCAGTGGAATACGCAGGCCCGGGCACATCAAAACTTTCCCCGGGCAGTTTGTTAGGTTTAGAGCGGGGGATGGGCGAGGTGCAAAGCACGTAGTTGGTGCCCACAGTCCAGTCATACTCGTCGATAAGAATGAGGTAGGCAAGATCGAGATGAAATTTAGAAATGTCGAGATTAGGGCTGACTGGCTGGTAAGCACTGTGGGGTTTGTTGGGGGGGTGGTTTTGGACAGGTTGGAGTTCGTAGATGGTATGGGTTCCAGTGCGGTACTAATATGAGATTCAACATTTGGATTCCCAGCCAGACACACCTCCAAACTTCGAAGTCACATTTCCGCTTGCCTAGACCACCGATTAGCATTTCAACTTCCGCGAAATGCTCACCAAGAAATTCCGCACCTATTCCGCGATTTTTATTTTCGGGCAGCCCTAATTTTTTTCTGACTGCGTATTGCGTATTCCCTAGCGTATAGCGTATAGCGTTTAAACTCAAGCGTAAATACGTGATACGCTTGAGGCGATGTGAGTGCGCCCATGCTTGTGCTCTACATCGCCATGATGTGAGTGCGCCCATGCTTGTGCTCTACATCGCCATGATGTGAGTGCGCCCATGCTTGTGCTCTACATCGCCATGATGTGAGTGCGCCCATGCTTGTGCTCTACATCGCCATGATGTGAGTGCGCCCATGCTTGTGCTCTACATCGCCATGATGTGAGTGCGCCCATGCTTGTGCTCTACATCGCCATGATGTGAGTGCGCCCATGCTTGTGCTCTACATCGCCATGACGTGAGTGCGCCCATGCTTGTGCTCTACATCGCCATGATGTGAGTGCGCCCATGCTTGTGCTCTACATCGCCATGATGTGAGTGCGCCCATGCTTGTGCTCTACATCGCCATGATGTGAGTGCGCCCATGCTTGTGCTCTACATCGCCATGATGTGAGTGCGCCCATGCTTGTGCTCTACATCGCCATGATGTGAGTGCGCCCATGCTTGTGCTCTACATCGCCATGATGTGAGTGCGCCCATGCTTGTGCTCTACATCGCCATGATGTGAGTGCGCCCATGCTTGTGCTCTACATCGCCATGATGTGAGTGCGCCCATGCTTGTGCTCTACATCGCCATGATGTGAGTGCGCCCATGCTTGTGCTCTACATCGCCATGATGTGAGTGCGCCCATGCTTGTGCTCTACATCGCCATGATGTGAGTGCGCCCATGCTTGTGCTCTACATCGCCATGATGTGAGTGCGCCCATGCTTGTGCTCTACATCGCCATGATGTGAGTGCGCCCATGCTTGTGCTCTACATCGCCATGATGTGAGTGCGCCCATGCTTGTGCTCTACATCGCCATGATGTGAGTGCGCCCATGCTTGTGCTCTACATCGCCATGACGTGAGTGCGCCCATGCTTGTGCTCTACATCGCCATGATGTGAGTGCGCCCATGCTTGTGCTCTACATCGCCATGATGTGAGTGCGCCCATGCTTGTGCTCTACATCGCCATGATGTGAGTGCGCCCATGCTTGTGCTCTACATCGCCATGATGTGAGTGCGCCCATGCTTGTGCTCTACATCGCCATGATGTGAGTGCGCCCATGCTTGTGCTCTACATCGCCATGATGTGAGTGCGCCCATGCTTGTGCTCTACATCGCCATGATGTGAGTGCGCCCATGCTTGTGCTCTACATCGCCATGATGTGAGTGCGCCCATGCTTGTGCTCTACATCGCCATGATGTGAGTGCGCCCATGCTTGTGCTCTACATCGCCATGATGTGAGTGCGCCCATGCTTGTGCTCTACATCGCCATGATGTGAGTGCGCCCATGCTTGTGCTCTACATCGCCATGATGTGAGTGCGCCCATGCTTGTGCTCTACATCGCCATGATGTGAGTGCGCCCATGCTTGTGCTCTACATCGCCATGATGTGAGTGCGCCCATGCTTGTGCTCTACATCGCCATGATGTGAGTGCGCCCATGCTTGTGCTCTACATCGCCATGATGTGAGTGCGCCCATGCTTGTGCTCTACATCGCCATGATGTGAGTGCGCCCATGCTTGTGCTCTACATCGCCATGATGTGAGTGCGCCCATGCTTGTGCTCTACATCGCCATGATGTGAGTGCGCCCATGCTTGTGCTCTACATCGCCATGATGTGAGTGCGCCCATGCTTGTGCTCTACATCGCCATGATGTGAGTGCGCCCATGCTTGTGCTCTACATCGCCATGATGTGAGTGCGCCCATGCTTGTGCTCTACATCGCCATGATGTGAGTGCGCCCATGCTTGTGCTCTACATCGCCATGATGTGAGTGCGCCCATGCTTGTGCTCTACATCGCCATGATGTGAGTGCGCCCATGCTTGTGCTCTACATCGCCATGATGTGAGTGCGCCCATGCTTGTGCTCTACATCGCCATGATGTGAGTGCGCCCATGCTTGTGCTCTACATCGCCATGATGTGAGTGCGCCCATGCTTGTGCTCTACATCGCCATGATGTGAGTGCGCCCATGCTTGTGCTCTACATCGCCATGATGTGAGTGCGCCCATGCTTGTGCTCTACATCGCCATGATGTGAGTGCGCCCATGCTTGTGCTCTACATCGCCATGATGTGAGTGCGCCCATGCTTGTGCTCTACATCGCCATGATGTGAGTGCGCCCATGCTTGTGCTCTACATCGCCATGATGTGAGTGCGCCCATGCTTGTGCTCTACATCGCCATGATGTGAGTGCGCCCATGCTTGTGCTCTACATCGCCATGATGTGAGTGCGCCCATGCTTGTGCTCTACATCGCCATGATGTGAGTGCGCCCATGCTTGTGCTCTACATCGCCATGATGTGAGTGCGCCCATGCTTGTGCTCTACATCGCCATGATGTGAGTGCGCCCATGCTTGTGCTCTACATCGCCATGATGTGAGTGCGCCCATGCTTGTGCTCTACATCGCCATGATGTGAGTGCGCCCATGCTTGTGCTCTACATCGCCATGATGTGAGTGCGCCCATGCTTGTGCTCTACATCGCCATGATGTGAGTGCGCCCATGCTTGTGCTCTACATCGCCATGATGTGAGTGCGCCCATGCTTGTGCTCTACATCGCCATGATGTGAGTGCGCCCATGCTTGTGCTCTACATCGCCATGATGTGAGTGCGCCCATGCTTGTGCTCTACATCGCCATGATGTGAGTGCGCCCATGCTTGTGCTCTACATCGCCATGATGTGAGTGCGCCCATGCTTGTGCTCTACATCGCCATGATGTGAGTGCGCCCATGCTTGTGCTCTACATCGCCATGATGTGAGTGCGCCCATGCTTGTGCTCTACATCGCCATGATGTGAGTGCGCCCATGCTTGTGCTCTACATCGCCATGATGTGAGTGCGCCCATGCTTGTGCTCTACATCGCCATGATGTGAGTGCGCCCATGCTTGTGCTCTACATCGCCATGATGTGAGTGCGCCCATGCTTGTGCTCTACATCGCCATGATGTGAGTGCGCCCATGCTTGTGCTCTACATCGCCATGATGTGAGTGCGCCCATGCTTGTGCTCTACATCGCCATGATGTGAGTGCGCCCATGCTTGTGCTCTACATCGCCATGATGTGAGTGCGCCCATGCTTGTGCTCTACATCGCCATGATGTGAGTGCGCCCATGCTTGTGCTCTACATCGCCATGATGTGAGTGCGCCCATGCTTGTGCTCTACATCGCCATGATGTGAGTGCGCCCATGCTTGTGCTCTACATCGCCATGATGTGAGTGCGCCCATGCTTGTGCTCTACATCGCCATGATGTGAGTGCGCCCATGCTTGTGCTCTACATCGCCATGATGTGAGTGCGCCCATGCTTGTGCTCTACATCGCCATGATGTGAGTGCGCCCATGCTTGTGCTCTACATCGGCCATGGCCATGATGTGAGTGCGCCCATGCTTGTGCTCTACATCGCCATGATGTGAGTGCGCCCATGCTTGTGCTCTACATCGCCATGATGTGAGTGCGCCCATGCTTGTGCTCTACATCGCCATGATGTGAGTGCGCCCATGCTTGTGCTCTACATCGCCATGATGTGAGTGCGCCCATGCTTGTGCTCTACATCGCCATGATGTGAGTGCGCCCATGCTTGTGCTCTACATCGCCATGATGTGAGTGCGCCCATGCTTGTGCTCTACATCGCCATGATGTGAGTGCGCCCATGCTTGTGCTCTACATCGCCATGATGTGAGTGCGCCCATGCTTGTGCTCTACATCGCCATGATGTGAGTGCGCCCATGCTTGTGCTCTACATCGCCATGATGTGAGTGCGCCCATGCTTGTGCTCTACATCGCCATGATGTGAGTGCGCCCATGCTTGTGCTCTACATCGCCATGATGTGAGTGCGCCCATGCTTGTGCTCTACATCGCCATGATGTGAGTGCGCCCATGCTTGTGCTCTACATCGCCATGATGTGAGTGCGCCCATGCTTGTGCTCTACATCGCCATGATGTGAGTGCGCCCATGCTTGTGCTCTACATCGCCATGATGTGAGTGCGCCCATGCTTGTGCTCTACATCGCCATGATGTGAGTGCGCCCATGCTTGTGCTCTACATCGCCATGATGTGAGTGCGCCCATGCTTGTGCTCTACATCGCCATGATGTGAGTGCGCCCATGCTTGTGCTCTACATCGCCATGATGTGAGTGCGCCCATGCTTGTGCTCTACATCGCCATGATGTGAGTGCGCCCATGCTTGTGCTCTACATCGCCATGATGTGAGTGCGCCCATGCTTGTGCTCTACATCGCCATGATGTGAGTGCGCCCATGCTTGTGCTCTACATCGCCATGATGTGAGTGCGCCCATGCTTGTGCTCTACATCGCCATGATGTGAGTGCGCCCATGCTTGTGCTCTACATCGCCATGATGTGAGTGCGCCCATGCTTGTGCTCTACATCGCCATGATGTGAGTGCGCCCATGCTTGTGCTCTACATCGCCATGATGTGAGTGCGCCCATGCTTGTGCTCTACATCGCCATGATGTGAGTGCGCCCATGCTTGTGCTCTACATCGCCATGATGTGAGTGCGCCCATGCTTGTGCTCTACATCGCCATGATGTGAGTGCGCCCATGCTTGTGCTCTACATCGCCATGATGTGAGTGCGCCCATGCTTGTGCTCTACATCGCCATGATGTGAGTGCGCCCATGCTTGTGCTCTACATCGCCATGATGTGAGTGCGCCCATGCTTGTGCTCTACATCGCCATGATGTGAGTGCGCCCATGCTTGTGCTCTACATCGCCATGATGTGAGTGCGCCCATGCTTGTGCTCTACATCGCCATGATGTGAGTGCGCCCATGCTTGTGCTCTACATCGCCATGATGTGAGTGCGCCCATGCTTGTGCTCTACATCGCCATGATGTGAGTGCGCCCATGCTTGTGCTCTACATCGCCATGATGTGAGTGCGCCCATGCTTGTGCTCTACATCGCCATGATGTGAGTGCGCCCATGCTTGTGCTCTACATCGCCATGATGTGAGTGCGCCCATGCTTGTGCTCTACATCGCCATGATGTGAGTGCGCCCATGCTTGTGCTCTACATCGCCATGATGTGAGTGCGCCCATGCTTGTGCTCTACATCGCCATGATGTGAGTGCGCCCATGCTTGTGCTCTACATCGCCATGATGTGAGTGCGCCCATGCTTGTGCTCTACATCGCCATGATGTGAGTGCGCCCATGCTTGTGCTCTACATCGCCATGATGTGAGTGCGCCCATGCTTGTGCTCTACATCGCCATGATGTGAGTGCGCCCATGCTTGTGCTCTACATCGCCATGATGTGAGTGCGCCCATGCTTGTGCTCTACATCGCCATGATGTGAGTGCGCCCATGCTTGTGCTCTACATCGCCATGATGTGAGTGCGCCCATGCTTGTGCTCTACATCGCCATGATGTGAGTGCGCCCATGCTTGTGCTCTACATCGCCATGATGTGAGTGCGCCCATGCTTGTGCTCTACATCGCCATGATGTGAGTGCGCCCATGCTTGTGCTCTACATCGCCATGATGTGAGTGCGCCCATGCTTGTGCTCTACATCGCCATGATGTGAGTGCGCCCATGCTTGTGCTCTACATCGCCATGATGTGAGTGCGCCCATGCTTGTGCTCTACATCGCCATGATGTGAGTGCGCCCATGCTTGTGCTCTACATCGCCATGATGTGAGTGCGCCCATGCTTGTGCTCTACATCGCCATGATGTGAGTGCGCCCATGCTTGTGCTCTACATCGCCATGATGTGAGTGCGCCCATGCTTGTGCTCTACATCGCCATGATGTGAGTGCGCCCATGCTTGTGCTCTACATCGCCATGATGTGAGTGCGCCCATGCTTGTGCTCTACATCGCCATGATGTGAGTGCGCCCATGCTTGTGCTCTACATCGCCATGATGTGAGTGCGCCCATGCTTGTGCTCTACATCGCCATGATGTGAGTGCGCCCATGCTTGTGCTCTACATCGCCATGATGTGAGTGCGCCCATGCTTGTGCTCTACATCGCCATGATGTGAGTGCGCCCATGCTTGTGCTCTACATCGCCATGATGTGAGTGCGCCCATGCTTGTGCTCTACATCGCCATGATGTGAGTGCGCCCATGCTTGTGCTCTACATCGCCATGATGTGAGTGCGCCCATGCTTGTGCTCTACATCGCCATGATGTGAGTGCGCCCATGCTTGTGCTCTACATCGCCATGATGTGAGTGCGCCCATGCTTGTGCTCTACATCGCCATGATGTGAGTGCGCCCATGCTTGTGCTCTACATCGCCATGATGTGAGTGCGCCCATGCTTGTGCTCTACATCGCCATGATGTGAGTGCGCCCATGCTTGTGCTCTACATCGCCATGATGTGAGTGCGCCCATGCTTGTGCTCTACATCGCCATGATGTGAGTGCGCCCATGCTTGTGCTCTACATCGCCATGATGTGAGTGCGCCCATGCTTGTGCTCTACATCGCCATGATGTGAGTGCGCCCATGCTTGTGCTCTACATCGCCATGATGTGAGTGCGCCCATGCTTGTGCTCTACATCGCCATGATGTGAGTGCGCCCATGCTTGTGCTCTACATCGCCATGATGTGAGTGCGCCCATGCTTGTGCTCTACATCGCCATGATGTGAGTGCGCCCATGCTTGTGCTCTACATCGCCATGATGTGAGTGCGCCCATGCTTGTGCTCTACATCGCCATGATGTGAGTGCGCCCATGCTTGTGCTCTACATCGCCATGATGTGAGTGCGCCCATGCTTGTGCTCTACATCGCCATGATGTGAGTGCGCCCATGCTTGTGCTCTACATCGCCATGATGTGAGTGCGCCCATGCTTGTGCTCTACATCGCCATGATGTGAGTGCGCCCATGCTTGTGCTCTACATCGCCATGATGTGAGTGCGCCCATGCTTGTGCTCTACATCGCCATGATGTGAGTGCGCCCATGCTTGTGCTCTACATCGCCATGATGTGAGTGCGCCCATGCTTGTGCTCTACATCGCCATGATGTGAGTGCGCCCATGCTTGTGCTCTACATCGCCATGATGTGAGTGCGCCCATGCTTGTGCTCTACATCGCCATGATGTGAGTGCGCCCATGCTTGTGCTCTACATCGCCATGATGTGAGTGCGCCCATGCTTGTGCTCTACATCGCCATGATGTGAGTGCGCCCATGCTTGTGCTCTACATCGCCATGATGTGAGTGCGCCCATGCTTGTGCTCTACATCGCCATGATGTGAGTGCGCCCATGCTTGTGCTCTACATCGCCATGATGTGAGTGCGCCCATGCTTGTGCTCTACATCGCCATGATGTGAGTGCGCCCATGCTTGTGCTCTACATCGCCATGATGTGAGTGCGCCCATGCTTGTGCTCTACATCGCCATGATGTGAGTGCGCCCATGCTTGTGCTCTACATCGCCATGATGTGAGTGCGCCCATGCTTGTGCTCTACATCGCCATGATGTGAGTGCGCCCATGCTTGTGCTCTACATCGCCATGATGTGAGTGCGCCCATGCTTGTGCTCTACATCGCCATGATGTGAGTGCGCCCATGCTTGTGCTCTACATCGCCATGATGTGAGTGCGCCCATGCTTGTGCTCTACATCGCCATGATGTGAGTGCGCCCATGCTTGTGCTCTACATCGCCATGATGTGAGTGCGCCCATGCTTGTGCTCTACATCGCCATGATGTGAGTGCGCCCATGCTTGTGCTCTACATCGCCATGATGTGAGTGCGCCCATGCTTGTGCTCTACATCGCCATGATGTGAGTGCGCCCATGCTTGTGCTCTACATCGCCATGATGTGAGTGCGCCCATGCTTGTGCTCTACATCGCCATGATGTGAGTGCGCCCATGCTTGTGCTCTACATCGCCATGATGTGAGTGCGCCCATGCTTGTGCTCTACATCGCCATGATGTGAGTGCGCCCATGCTTGTGCTCTCCATCGCCATGATGTGAGTGCGCCATGCTCTGCCTGTGACTGGAAGCGAGTGTGAGAGAGTGAATGAGACGAGAGCACATAGCAAGGCACGCGTGCTGCTCATCGCCCAGACCTGCAAACACACCTTTTCCTGCCTGCAACGCTCCTTCCCCACCATGCCTTCGCCTCTCCCCTCGTTCGTCCTCCCTTTCCGAATGTGTCCCGGTGTGCGTCCCGGGCCTGGTGTCCTAGTGTGGGTGTGTGGCTGTGTGTATGGCTGTCTATCTGCATTGTGTGCGTGAATGTCTGTACGTGCCCTGTACATGCATGCTGGTGTGCACACGTGTGCACTCATGCCCATCACGGCAGTGGCTATGGCAACGTGGGCTTCTCTCTCGGGTACACCTGTCCAGAAGACGCCCCCCCTGGCTGTGTCTCCCCGCCCTACAGCTTCTCAGGTCAGCCGCCCTCTTTGCTCTCCCCCTTACCCCTTTTGTTGTTGTTTCCACCCCCACTGCTACCAGCCTTTTGTTTTCTCGCTTAATCCCCTCCTCCTCCCCCTCGCCTCACGTACCTCCCTCCTATCCCTCCCGCCCATCTCCATCCCCTTCAACCGGGAGCGGGGGCAGGGGTGTGGCGCACGGAGGCGAAGGTGGTGATGGTGCTGGTGATGCTGCTGGCGCGGCACCGCGGGCTGCCAGACAACATCGACGCCGCCATCGTCATCCCCGACCAGAAGCAGTTCCATTTCGCCGCTAAGGCGCACGACGCTGCTGCAGCCGCTGGCGCAGGCACAGGTGGGAGGGAGGGTGGGGGAGAGGGTGCAGGGATGGGGCCACGGTTGAGGGGGGGGGGGAGGGGGGGGGGGGGGTTTGAAAGAGGGAATGATGGGAGCCGAGATGACTGTGCTCCTCTCTTGCATGGCCTGTACCATGTGCACCTCCCTGTGCACCTGCACCATGTGCCTGGCAGGGCTTTTTATGGGCCTTTGCATCCGTACTTGCCATGCGATGTGTCATGCAGTGTGCCATGTGTCATGCATTGTGTCATGTGACGTGCCAATGGAATGTCATGCAATTCCCATGCAATGTGTCCATTCTCTCTATGGAATCCAGAGCATGATGAGGTGGAGAGCATTGCGTCGTCGAGGAGGCGAGGCGGCAAGGGGCCTGTGATTCCACACAGGGCCTTGATACGAGCCCACAGCAGCAGCCAGATACTACTGCCAGGCAGCAGCCTCAGAGCCAGGTAATGTAACACATTTTTGTTTCAGCATCTTTTCTGGTTACATGTAGTGTGCAACGTCTTGATGAAGATTCTATGTTTTCATCTTGCAGTATGGATACGTTTGATCGTTCAACAACACCCACAGCAATGAGGTCGCCTTGACACCAATGCGGTGATTCCAGTGAAACTGAAGACGTTATGGGGGAAGTGCTCATGTCTCGAGTTGATGCTGTAGCTATGTAGCCTAGTTAGCATTATGAGCAGCCTTGCCAAGTATGTATGTAATCCGTTACATGAACAAAAGTCGTTAGCTGTACATGTAGCACCAATCTAGTCCCAGGTTGGTAGGAGTGCAAGGCAATAGAAGTGGGTGTGTTTGCGGCAGTCGGGGAAGGTGTGTTTGTCGGACGGATCGCCGCAACTGATGGACTGGAGGTCGGACAGGAGGCCACACCCAGCTCGCATCTCCTCGACCGTCGGATTCGTGTCCCTCTGTTTGCTGCCATGGGGATCAGTTGGTTGGTGGCACCTTGGGATTTGCGAAATTCACTTCCCCCATCTCTCCCTGCCACAGCCAGGTACTTGCGAAGGGAAGGGCAACCTTGGGGGTCTCGCTAGCTAGCCATTCCATTTCATTTCATTCCATTCCATTCCATCCATCTCTTGGCTTTGCTTCGCCCATGGTCAGGTGAATGGAATGGATGTCTTCGGGCCATGGTTCCAATGTATCGTCTCGTGTCTCCAGCCCTCATCCCTGTCGCATCGAATAGCGTGACGCAATTCGCCTTGTCCAACGAGCATTATGAAAATCCGCCAGCATAGCGACTGAGTCACGTGAGTAGCATTCTTCCTCTCTCCTCTGCGAGCACCACCATGTCGTCGCCGTCGTCGCGCACCTACTGGTGCCATCAGTGTGCGACCGTCGCCGCCATCGCGCGCCCTCCCCCCACGCCCTCCATGGGCGGTCCTCGCTGCCCGGCGTGCGGAGGCGGCTTCGTCGAGGAGCTCCCCGCGCGCGCGCTCGCCGCGCCCGCCACGCTCCCCTCGTCGCCCGCGCGTGCCGACCTCTCGTTCGCCGACGCTTGGGATGACATGCGCAGCGTGCTCGCTCAGCGTTCCGAGCACCAGCGCGCCGAGCCGGGGTCATCGCGGTCGTCGTCGCCCGACATCGGCGGAAGCGCCGCCATTGCGCGCGAGGCCGCGTCGCCCCCAACCTCCCCATCGCCATCCGACGGCGGCGAGGCTTCCACCGCTCCCACCCGCACAGGCCGCTCCCCGCGTGGACTACGCGACGCCTCTCGCCGCGTCGTCCTGGACTCGCTCGATCCGCGCGACGACGTGCTTCCGCTGGGCTCGCAGCATCGCACGAGCGGTCGCAGGGAGTCGCCGAGCGGCGTGTTCGGCGACTACGGCGACGACGAGGACGGCTTGGCGCGCTTCCTGCGCGACATGTGGGAGGAGTCGTCGTTCCTGGAGGTCGCCACCGCGCAGCTGCGCGCCAGAAGCGCGCCGATGAGCGACACTGCCCGGGGGCAGGTGCGCGTAGGGACGGAGGGAGTAGGGGGAGGAGGTAGTGAGTGGCATGTACGTTCCATGATGTGGCTCCCCGTGCTGCGCTGTCCCTGTCACGCGCCGCCCTCATGCCACCCCCCCACCCTCGCCTTCCCCCTCATTCTTGTCGCACGAGCTCTTGCTTTCACCCACCCATTCTGGCGTGGCAGGTAGCGGGCAGTGACGACGAGAGTAGCGACGACGCCGTGCCGCCACGCGTGGGTACATCGAACGCAGCGCCAGCTGCAGCGGGCGTCGTCAGTGAATCAGGCGAGTTCTCGGGGCGAGAGGGCGACTACTTCCTGGGGGACGACCTCAGCGCGCTCGTGGACCGCATCGCCACCACACACCCCGCGCCCCACACCAGGTGCCACTCCCCGCCCCACCACTCCCCGCACTCCCCGCTCCCCGCTCTCTCCACCCCCCTCCCCGCGTGTGGCACGCGTGGCGCCCTGCATTGGCGTGCCCTCAGCAGCACCACATGGCACTCTCTCTCAGTGGTTACAGCAGCGGGGTGAAGACGAATTCGCAACCAAGCTGACCCTCATAGCATTCCATCGCACCCTGATAGTTTTCTCCTTCTCTTGTTTCCCACGTTTGCCCTCCCTTCCCCTTCTGCTCCATCCCCCCCTTCTCCCCGCCCGTCGCTCCCCGCCACCAGCACGCACACGCCAGCGTCGAGGGCGGCGGTGCGGGCGCTGCCGCTGCGCATAGTGCGCGAGGAGGACGTGGCGGGGGGCGTGGCGGCGTGCGCGGTGTGCCACGAGGACATGGGCGTGGGCGCCGTGACGCAGCAGCTCCCGTGCCGCCACGCGTACCACAGCGACTGCATCCTGCCCTGGCTTGCGCAGTCCAACACCTGCCCCGTCTGCCGCTTCCGCCTGCCCTCCCAGGCCGAGGCCGATGCTGCCCCCACGTGCCCCTGGCACCATGGCGCCCTGCTGGGCGCTGAGACGCGCCAGGGGGCTGGAGGTGGTAGGGGCTGGGAGGGTGAGGAGGTGGCAGCAGTGGCGGCAGCAGGGATGGGGAGGGGGAGTGGGGATGGCATGGGATGCAGCAGGCGAGGCAGGGCGGGGGTGCAGGGTCATGGCATGCGGCATCCTCCTTCTCCTCGCTGCTGCATCAACGCATCCACACTGCTGCCCCCATGCCCTGGAATCACCACCATGATCATGCCCATGCCCCCTCCCACACCCATCACCATGCAAATGATGCATCCCACGCCCACCGCCCTGCCCTTTCGCCAAACATAGGCCGTGGCCCCTCGGGTGCCGCCTCCTCTGACCGCTGGCCTGCCCCCTCCGCTGCCTCTTGGCGCGCGTCCGCCTCCTCTGCTCGCCCCTCGCCTGCCGCCACACACATGCCACTGCATGGCGCGGCGCAGGGCGGCGTGGGGAACAGGGGCGTGCGGCAGGGGGGCATGGAGGAAAGGGGAGTGGGGGGAACAGCGATGCAGCAGGGTGGGGCGGCATTGGGCGGTGCGAGCAGCAGGGAGGTGAGGATGCGCAGCGAGGCAGTGAGGCGGGCCGTGGGGTCGTCGTGGGAGGCTTATTTGATGCGGCAGCGCGCCAGGCAGCTGGGGGGAGAGCGGCTGGCAGGGGTAGCCAGGCAGCAGCGGGGGGAAGGAGGCAGGCAGGGGAGCAACGCAAGGGAGGGGATGTGGGGTGATGCTGTGCAGGGGCGGGGGGAGGGCACGGGAGGAGGGAGAGCAGTGGGCGAGGCAAGGCCGTCGGTGAGAGGGGCTGGGGTGAGTGAGAGGCTTCCTGCTGCTGCTGCTGCTGCAGCGTCTGATGGGCTGGCAGTGTGGCGCCGTGACCTGATTGGTGCAGCGAGAGGCACCGTGTTTGCAGACAGGGGGGAGAGGGAGAGGAGGTGGGGAGGTGGGGCAGTGGCGGTGAGGGGAAGGGTGCAAAGGGAGGGCACAGGGGGCAGAGTGAGTGCGAGTGGCAGTGACAGTGGCAGCGGCAGCAGTGGTACGAGCTCAGATGAGAGCCGCGAGCTGAGCGAGGCCAGCCCCTCGTCCCCACCGCTCACTCCCTCCTCTCTGGCGCCTGTGCTTGGCAGCAGCGGGCATGGGTCCCCAGGGGGTGGTGTGGGGCGCACAGAAGCAACGAGGGACAAGCAGAGAGCGAGGGAGGTGCTAGGGAGGGAAGTGGAGGGTGCAGGGAGGAGGCAGGGGAGCGGCATTGAATGGACCCCGCCCTCCCGTTCCTCCACTTCCCCCTCGCTCTCCCCCTCCTCGACCCTCTCCCGCTCCCCCTAACTGCTGCCTCACCCCAGCACAGGCTTGTGCAGTGCATGTGGGGCCGCTGTGCCTCGAGTGAGGTGCACTGCATGCACCTGTGCCCAGCATTAAGTGTGTTGCATGTCAGTGTGATGCTGTGTGGCCATTCACAAATTCCACCTTGCCCTTTTTGGAATTGCGGCGACGCACATACTAGTTGGTGTAAGCACACTAGGCTAGAGCTCCCTGCTCTCATCCCAGGCCCTCGTTGCCCGTTCACCTCAAGTGCACAGTCTTTGTTGCCCTGCTGGGAAGTTGGCCCATATCCACCCCCATCTGTGATCAGTCACTGCCTTGCCTGCGAACAAGCACATGCCATGTGGAACTCACGAATGTGGACACTGCATGCAACAAGTGAGCTGCACATGGGGAAAACCTAGGTATCTACTGTGGTATGTCTGCTACTCTACTGCAATAACTTATGAACCCATCTGTGTCTCCAACCAACTACACACTGCCTAGCACGTGCAAATAAACAACCAAGACACCGTGTGAAACAGCAAGGCAGCACGTGCGTGTTGCACCGAGCGTCCCTTTCTGGCAGCACAAGGGGCATGCTCCCGCCACTCCTCACAGACAGCAGCGGAGCGGGCGGGGAGCACTAGTTGGGCAGGACGGGGGGGATGAGGTAGCGGAAGCGGTAGTCAAAGGGCGCGACGACAACACACTTGGAGGCGGAGACGTTGGCAGCGCCGGTGGGGAGGCAGTTCATGAGCACCACTGCCTGGTTGGTGGGCAGCACGTTCGCCAGCCACTCCAGCAGACTCCACACGTCCGGGGCGAAGTCCGGTAGGTACCTGGTGCATGGGGGGAGTGGAGGCGACGGGGACCAAAGAACGAGGGAGGGATGGGAGGGAGGGGGTGGGTTATGGGGGGTATGGAGCGCGTAGGCATGTTGGATAGAGTAGATGCGCGGCACAGGAATGAGTGGAAAGACTTGGTGAGGGAGTAAGGGAGTCACCAGTGCAGCAGCTTGGGGATGATGATCTCACCAGTGCAGCAGCTTGGGGATGATGATCTCACCAGTGCAGCAGCTTGGGGATGATGATCTCACCAGTGCAGCAGCTTGGGGATGATGATCTCACCAGTGCAGCAGCTTGGGGATGATGATCTCACCAGTGCAGCAGCTTGGGGATGATGATCTCACCAGTGCAGCAGCTTGGGGATGATGATCTCACCAGTGCAGCAGCTTGGGGATGATGATCTCACCAGTGCAGCAGCTTGGGGATGATGATCTCACCAGTGCAGCAGCTTGGGGATGATGATCTCACCAGTGCAGCAGCTTGGGGATGATGATCTCACCAGTGCAGCAGCTTGGGGATGATGATCTTATTGGCCTCGTTCACGCTCACCGCCGCCCCCAGGTACTCCACCATGGCGCCCCGCAGCTGCTGCTGCACACTCTCCGCCCGGTATACCCGCATCTGGGGGAGAGAGGGGAGAGGCAGGGATGGCATGCGGGCGGAGTGAACGGAGGTGGAGGCAGCAAGAGACTGGATGCCAGCGTCAGAGCAGCGAGAGAAAAAGGTAGTGCGGCGGGGAGGAGCAGGAGAGGGGGCTTAGCGGGTGGGGCACTGACGGAGGGCGAGGAGCGTGTGCCGGAGCAGAGGGCGAAGGACACGAGGGGCTCCGCGCGGGACAGCGCACACAGCGAGCGCGCATCGTCTGGGCGGAACGTAGTGCTGGGCAGGGCACGGATCTGATGGGGGCGGGCAGGGGGGATGGACGGGGGGAGCAGGGTGGGTGAGGGATGATGAGAGTAGGTGGATGGAAGGATGATAATCAGGAGGCTGAAGCACGAGGACAGAAGACGGAAGCTTCACTAAACAAGCAGTCAGGAGAACGATGGCTGAGATATGCTTGATTTCCCGGCACGGTGAGAGCAGGTGGGTGATTGGGACTGACAATGTAGGGCTTGTGGCTGGCAGCTCTGAGCACGGCGTGTTCGATGAGCAGCACACTGTACAGCTGGCCTCCTATTAGGAATCCCACCTGCCATGGCATTGTGGCATGGTGGCATGGGTGGCATGGCATGGTGGCACAAGAGAGAGTAGTGAGACGGCATAATGGGGATAGGCCAGCATCCGCACACTGTCAAGCCCTTTGCTCCCACCATCACACACCACCACTCCCTCAACCCTACCACTCCCCCGCTTTCGCTCCCACCATTTATCGTACGAATCGACATGCCATGCGCGCGCGCGCGCGCGTGTGTGTGTGTGTGTGTGTGTGTGTGTGTGTGTGTGTGTGTGTGTGTGCAGAGGGAGCGGCATGGCACGGACCTTGCTGAAGAGAGCGATGCGGTCAGCAAAGTCAGTGGGCACGGGGATGACGATGTAGATCTGCATGCACACCACGCAGCACACACACCACGCAGCACACACACAGAAAACAGTCAGGAGGGGAAGGGGAGGGGAGGGGGAGAGGGGCGGTTGGGGCCAGATTGGAGAAAGTGGGTGAACCTGGAGAAACATAGACGAGCAATCCTGGCTGTTTTGGCACTTTCACTTGGTCCCTCACGGCCTCTTGCTGGCAGGCTTCTAGCGGACTGAAAGGCACAGACAGAGCCGCAGCAGCAGAAGCATGATGCAGGAGAAGGAATCACTTAGAGCGGCAGTGCCAAGCACTCACATAGAGCAGCAGGGCGTTGTAGATGTTGATCCAGAAGGCCAGCCGCTCGTTGTGCGCCAGCAGTGATGGATCCACCTCCTCCAGCTGCGCTGCCATGGCTCTGAGGGGGGGGAAATGGGGGGGCGAAGCAGGGTGGCACACAGGCAGGCAGGCATAAGAGAGGCGGGGAGAAGGAGAGAGAGGGAGACCCCCTCTCAGCTGCTGCCCCACAAAGCTCCTTCCCATCCGTGCTCCCGCTCTCACCGGAAGTGCAGGAGGCGAGTGGCGTCGGCGTGGGTCATGGTGGCCTCGGAGGGCGGGTGCTGCACGGCGAGCATCTGAATGTAGTTGCCCGCGTCGGGGCACGGGTGCTCGCCAAACACACCGTACGGGTCCAGCTGCACGCTGCTCAGCGCACTCCACTCCGTGGGCGCCGGCACCTCGCCACTCGTCCCGAAGAACTTCTCAAAGTCATCTGAGCCCAACTCGCCCTTCTCTGCTGCTGCTGCCGCTGCTGCTGCTCCTGCTGCTGCTGCCCCGCCTAGTGCGTCCTTGCCCCCTTGCTTCCCCTTCGCTCCCTTCTCCTTCTCCCTCTCCTTCCCCCCCTTCGCCCCTGCCCCAGCCCCTCCAGCGCCTGCAGCGGGGGGGGTGGCAGCGGGGGCGGAGGGCGGAAGGGGGGGCAGCACGCGGGCGACAGCAGTGACCACGCGCGTGGACGTGGTCCGCCCCAGCCGCAGTGCGCCTGCTGCAGCGCTGCCACTGCTGGGCGTGCTGGGGTTGGGAAACTCCCCGTGCCCTCCGCCCCCTCTCCTCCCACTGCTGTACGGCGACGCCACATCGCCGCCTCTCCCCTGCTGCTGCGCGTCCCCCGTCCCCCACCCACTCCCCCCTCCGGACGAGCGGTGGTGGCGGTGGCGGTGGCGCAGCCAGAGCGTGGTGGGCGTGCGCGGGCGCAGGCGCGGGCGCAGCGGCGAGGCGGAGGGTGGGCCGAGCAGGTCCATCTCGGAGGCGCGGAGATGGCGCAGGTCCACGTCGGTGTCGTCATCGCCCACCTCCTCCCACTCCGACACCTCCGTCAACGTCGCCTCCTCCATGCTCCCTCCCCCCCGCCTCCCCCTCCCCCGCCTCGCCTGCCACTGCCCGCCCCGCCCATCCCCGTCATCCCACCCATGCCGCGCGCCCCTGAGCCCCGAGGGGCTCTCGCCATCCGTGCTGCTCACGCCGTCCTCCCACCCACCGCCGCCCACCGCCACGCCGCCATACGCCTGCGGGTACGGCCGCCCCGCCGCGTCCTCATCACTGCCGTACTCCTGTGCGCCGCCCCCTGCTGCGCGCTTGTGGCGGCGGGGGGAGGAGCGCGGGGAGTGCGAGGCATGGGAGGAGGGGTTGGCGGCGCTGCGGCTGCGGAAGAAGTTGCGGCGCCGCGAGGGCGGGTGGTGGGCGGGGCGGGGCAGGGGCGGGTCGGGGAAGGAAAGGGGCTGGGTGGAGGGGCCGAAGGTGGCGGAGCGAGGCGTGGTGGCAAAGCGGTCGGGCGAGGTGACGGCGCCAAAGGCATGGCGGCGGTAAATCTCTGTTGGGGGGAGGGGGGGGTGGATGATGGATGAGGCAAGCAGTGAAACATGTGAGGAATGAATATGGTGAGCGCGGCAGGATGAAGCAGGGCAGAAAGAGAGAGAGCATGCAGGTGGAACGTTGCAACATGAATGAGATGGAGCAGTGCAAGCAGTGGACTCATGAAAGAGATAAAGGGTGGCGACGGACGGAGGAGGCAGATGAGCATGTGTTCGGAGAGCAGGTTGGGGTGCGCCCTCAGGTCGTCCACGTCGTCCCGCGCCGTGAAGAGCTCGCACTCGGCGATCTCAAAGTCGCCCGCCTCCATGCTGCGCATGCGCCGCGATGCCTGGTGCGGGGGTGTGGTGACAGGGCCGTGAGAGGTCGGTGGGACGGCAGAGAGAGAGCAGAAAGAGGGAAGAAAGAGGGCAGAAAGAGGGCAGAAAGAGGGCAGAAAGAGGGCAGAAAGAGGGCAGAAAGAGGGCGGAAAGAGGGCAGAAAGAGGGCAGAAAGAGGGCGGAAAGAGGGCAGAAAGAGGGCAGAAAGAGGGCAGAAAGAGGGCGGTGAGAGAGAGCCAAGGCCGAGAGAGGCAGGGCAAGGCAGTGATGAACTTATGAGACGCATGAGAGGCAGTGACCTGGTGGAAGATGTGCAGGATGGGGTGTGACCTGGTGGAAGATGTGCAGGATGGGGTGTGACCTGGTGGAAGATGTGCAGGATGGGTTGTGACCTGGTGGAAGATGTGCAGGATGGTGGAGCCCTCCCCCGGCTCCACTCGGTACGCCTCTGCCGGCCCCACCGCCCGTGAGCTCGGTGTGTTGAGGCCCCCCCACCACCGCCCTGACGCCCTCTCCTTCTCCCCCTTCGCCCCCGCCCCTCCACCCTTGTCTGCATCGGTGCGCGCCAGTGAGAGCGCGCGAGTGAAGCGCGCCGCCAGATCCATCGCACCGCCTCCCCCTCCCTTCTCCCTCTCCCTCTCCCGCTCCCTCTCCTTCTCTCTTTCCCTCTCCCTCTCTCTCTCCTTCTCCCTCTCCCACTCCCTCTCTCTCTCCCGCTCCCGGTCGGCCTGCCGTCTGTCAGTGGCGGAGCCCCAGAAGCGCGACGACGACGGCGTGAGTGCGCCCGTGTCCACCCCGCCCTGCATGTCCTCCTCCTCCTCGCCCGCCTCCCTCTCCGCTACCTGCTCCCCCGCCACCCACCAGCACAGGAGGAACGGCAGTGAGAGAACGGGAATGGGTGAGAGGTTGAAGAATCAGGCAAGCAGGCAGGCACAGTGGCAGGCGGGCAACAAGGGTGTTAATTAATTGGAGTCATGGCAGACAGCAAGGTGGAGGCAACGGATGACGTCACTCCTCACAGCCACTCACCCCGGTCATGCGCCCATCCATGGCGCCGCGGCTCTGGTCGATGGCACGGCGGGCGGAGGTGGGGGTGAAGGGCGCGCACATGGGCTGGGGGGACGCCTCGTCCGACATCCCTTCCTCGCCTTCAGCCCCTCCTCCCCCCGTCCCCACTGCCAGCGGCTCCAGTGCCTGGCGCCGCCCCGAGGCGTTGCGCGAGCGCGAGCGCCAGCGCGAGCGGGGGGAGGGCAGCGGGCCGCTGAGGCTGCGCGCACTGTGGCGGGGGGAGGGCGAGGGCGCGTGGGGGGCGGGCTGGGCGAAGTGCGAGGCGGGCAGGGAGCGGCGCGAGGCGGAGGGGGGGCGGCCCATGGAGGGCGCGGGGCTGGCGGAGGCGGTGGAGGGGGAGGCGAGCCAGGGGGGCAGCGCGGAGGAGTGCGGCTCGGAGACCAGTGAGGCGTCGTCTGGCATGTCGGAGAGGGAGAGGTCGTGGGGGAAGGAGGAGGCGGGGTCCGGTGGCAGCGAGGAGAAGGACGCAAAGGAGAGCATCGCCGCTGCTGCTGCTGGCACGACCGTGCCCTGTGCCAACGCTTCGTTGAGCTGGAGGTGGGGGGGAAGTGTGGTGGGGAAGGGGGAAACAGGCAGAGAGCAGCAACGCGCGGGGTGACATGTGTTTATGACATGTGGTGGTGACATGTAGGGGTGAGATGTGGTGCAAATTCAAGCGGACATGCAAATGCCACTCTGACCTGCGAGTTGCCCGCCCACCTGTGAGTTTCCTTCTCTCAGCAGCCCCTCATGCCGCTCCAGCTGCGACAGCTGGCTCTCCAGCTGCTGACTGCCATGGCCGGTTGGGGCATGGGGGGCATTGGAGGGGGGAATAGGAGAGGTGATGCATGGTGATGTATAACAAAAGCAATCACCCTAAACCCTACAACCCTACAACTCACATCATGTGCTGCATCTCACATCATGTGCTGCATCTCACATCATGTGCTGCATCTCACATCATGTGCTGCAGCTGTGCGCGTTGCTCCTCGTGCCCCCCGCGGCGCAGCAGGGAGCGGTGCTGGCGGTCGCGGTTGATCCACACGAGGCGCTGCACGTCCATCCACCGCCGCGCCACCCTCACCTCCCCCCTCAGCCACTCCACCTCCGCCGCCTCCCTCCTCGCCTCCTCCTCCTCCTCCTGCCGCCATGCCCCCCCCACAAGCACAGCACGCCAGGCAAGAGGGTGACGGGATGTGGGAGGGTGAGGGAGGGGAAGGAAGGAAGGGTGGCGAGCAGGTGGAAGGAAGGGATGTGGCAGCGGCATCATTGGCAAGGATCACAATGGGCTGTGGCGGATTGCGAGGGTGGTGGGGATGGGGAGGGAGGGGCGACACAAGCGCAGTCACAAGCAAGGCAGTACCGGGGAGGGGTTGGCAGGGGGGTCGAGGAAGATGCCGCTGTGCAGCAGGTGGTACTCCACCGCACTCCGCCTCGCCCTCCTGCCCTCCACCGCCTCCCTCAGCTCGCCCGTCTGTGCCTCAAGCCACGTGGAGGGAGGGGAGGCAGGGAGGATCATGGGAGGTGAAGGGAACAGGAGGAAAACGAGGGGAAACAAAGCACATGGCCTTGGATACACCTGCATGAAAAAGGTACGACAAGGCGTTTTGCTTGTTGTATGCCACACCTTCCTCTCCCACCTCCTCTCATTATCTTTGCTCTCTCTCTTGCCCACTTTCCTCGCCTCTCGCCTCACACTGCCCGACTCAAGCATCCCCTTTCCCCCAGAATTAGGCCTCCCAGCCCTTCCCCCCCCCTCTCCCACCTCCGCTGCCAACCGAGCCACCATTCGGCGTCGCCGCCTCGCCAGGCGCCGTGCTGCCTGCCCTCCCTTGCCGCCCGCTCTGCCGCCCCGTGCCGCGTCCTCAGCAGCGAGGGCGGCAGCGGCCTGCTGGCGGCGCTGCTGCTCCCTCACCCGCACCGCCCTCACCGCCTCGTCCCACGCTCTCTTCTTCTCCGCCTCCTCTGCCCGTCTCCTCTCCTCCTCCATTGCCTCTGCCTCTGTCCCCCCCTCTCCCCCCTGCCCCTGCTGTGGGTCGTGGTGCTGCGTGTGCCAGTGGTGCTGCGAGGCCCACTGTGGCTTGGTGCTTGCATTCGCCGCCATCACCGCCGCTGCCAGCGCTGCATCGGCACGCGCCTTGCTCTCCTCTGCTGCACTCTGCTCCGCCACGCCACTCGTCCCCCCCTTGCTGCCCGCCTCCTCCCCCCCCTCCTCCGCCCTCGCCCCATGCCCTGCCTCCCCATCCGTGCCCCCCCCTTCCCGCTCCCCCTCTGCGTCCGCACTCTTCCCCGCTGCTCTACCCGCGCCACTCTGCTGCGCCTCTCTCTCCGCCCCTGTCTCGCCACTTGTCCGCAGCACCACCACCCTCTCCGCCGTTGCTGCGCGTGCCCACACGTCACCACCAGCGCCAGCAGGGGCGAGCAGGGAGGCGGCGCGGCGGCCGGCGCGGCTCTCCCTAACGCTGTCCGAGTGGCTGCGGGGAAACGCCGCTTGCGCCCACCCCACGCCCGCCCCCCCTCGCTGCACCCCGCCCAGCCCCGTCACAGCAGCACCCGCACCAGGTGTCGCTGCCCACACCTCCCCAGCTGTGTGTGTGCGGGGCACCCCTGCTGGCCCCAGGGGCAGCACCACCACGCCATCGCCTCCGGCACTCGCGTCCCCCGCCAGCACATACGCGTCCCACGCCGCCTCCTCCTCCGCCCGCGCCTCCTCCTCCCCCTCTGTCTCCGCCCCGCCCTTGCCCTTCCCGCCCCTGCCCGCGCGCTTCCCCCCCAGCCCGCCCTTGGCAAGGCTGCGCACGACACGCGCGCCCCACCCCATGACGCCGTGCCACGCGGGGCGGCCAGCCGCCTGCCAGGCGGAGGGGTCAGCCGCCAGCAGCGGGGAGAAGGCGGCATCCAGCGACCGCACCCGCCTCACCCGCCTCCCCCGCCCCTCCCCCACCGCGCCCTCCGCCTCCCCCTCCGCGCCCTCCCCCTCCACATGCTGCTCTTGCACTTGCTCCGCGCCCTCCCCCTCAGCACCCCATGCGGCTTGCTCTGCCCCGCCCACCGCTGCGGATGCGCCTGGCGCTGCAGCAGCGGGCGCTGCCCCCTCTGCTGTGGGGACGGCTGGTGCAGAAGCAGCAGCGGGCAGGGGAGGGGCGAGCAGGCGGGGCGAGGCAATGTCGCCCGCTGCACCCACGCGGGACTCTAACCGCCCCCTCACTGCCTGCCATGCCGCCTCGCCCTCAACACCACCCACCCCGCCATCTTGCCCGTCCAACCCTCCGGTCCCCTTGCCTACACCCGCCTCCCCCTCCTTGCACCCCTCCTCCTCTTTGCCCCCCTCCTCTTTACCTGCGCCTGGCTCCGCTGCACACTCCCCTCCCTGCATTCCCTGCCCCCCTTCACTTGCACCTTTTTCCCCCCCATCCTTGCTTTCCCCCTCGTTGCTTTCCCCCTCGTTGCTTTCCCCCTCGTTGCTTCCCCCCTCGTTGCTGCCCCCATCGTTGTTCCGCACAGCCTCCGCCGCCACCTCCCCATGCGTCGTCTGCTCGCTTCCGCCCGCACCCTCCGTCGCCTGCGCCGGCACTACTCCTCCCCCTGCCACACTCTCCCCCTCACCAGAGCCTTCACCTTCCGCCCCACCCTCCGCGTCTCCCCCGTTCGCGCGCCTCTCGTCCACTGCTGCGGGCCCTGCACTCCCTGCTGACGCCTCTGCTGCCGCCCCTGCGCTCTCTGCTGCCGCCCCTGCGCTCTCTGCTGCCGCCCCTGCGCTCCCTTCTGCCGCCCCTGCGCTCCCTTCTGCCGCCCCTGCGCTCTCTCCTGGCGCCCCTGCGCTCTCTGCTGCCGCCCCTGCGCCGTCTGCCCGCGCGGCAGCAGCGGCGGAAGAAGCAGCGTTGCGCGGGGACGCCATGCTGCTGCCAGGGGTCCGCGCACTTGCCCTCGCCGCCCCGCTGCTGCCATTCGAGCTGGGGGACGACGTGGCATTCCCTGCACTCCCCCTCACCGCGCGCTCGCCTTTGCGCGGCGCCGCGCCCCTCCCCTTGGCGCCCTCCGCTGGCTCCCCGTTCGAATCAGCAGCCCCTTCGCTCCTGCGCCGCCCCTCGCCCTTCGCCTTCAATCCCTCGCCCGCCAATTTCTCGCCCCCTCCTCGCCCGCCTGTGCGCCGCCTGGTGCCTTCCTTGCTGCGCTGGCCGGGCGCTCCCCGCTCGTTAATCCGCGCCTCAGCCGCAGCCGCGCCATCGCGCTCCCCCGCACCCCCATCGCCCTCCATCGCGTCGCTCCCCCGTTCCCCCTCGCCTGCCCCTGCCGCCTCCATCGGCTCCCCCGCCCCCCCCTGCACGGCCTCCGCTTCTGCCCTGCTTGTCTCCGCGCGCTCGCCATTCCCCGCGCTGTCCCCCTCCATTTCCCGCTCCCTCCCTCCGCCCTATTCTCGTCCCCGCCGTCTTTCCCCCGGCCGTCTCTCCGCGCGCGCACCCTAATCCTGGGCAATGGGGCAGTCTGGGCGTTATTAATGCGTCTCAGCCGTCACTGCGCGTGCAGCCTCACGGCCCTCGCGGCCCCACCTGGACCGCCACGAGTCAGCACACAAGAGGAGCTCACATTGCGGACGCGCACGATCGCAGCGCGGGCGCCAGGCACGAGGAATGTGAGTGTGGCGAGGTCAGCAATGCGACGCGCAGGAGAGCGCGCAGTGGGTCGCCTGGTTAATAAAAGACTCGCGATAAGGAGCGCTCACGCAAAGCTTTGAGATGTCACAATCGTACTCCGCCGCTAGGCTACGGCGCGATGGGATGGAATGCAGCGGCCGCCACGCCGGCGACGCGCCGTGCGGCACGGGAGGCGGCAGTGCGCAAGTGGCGTCAATGTGCGACGATCTCGAGGACTCTCAGAGCAATTGGTGGCATGTGCAGCGTGCGTGCATGTCAACATTGGGGGTGCGCTGCTGTGAGCATCAGTGGGTGCAGTGCAGGGAGCGTTGTGATCTGCGCGGGTGGTGGTGGTGAACGGGGCGGGTGGGTGGCAGGCGAGGGCAGGGCAGGTGGAGATCGTTCCGCAAGGGACCGCAGGGCCCACTGGCCAGGCGAAAAGGGGTGGCGAACGTGCCTCTCAGCTCATCTCTAGGGTGTCCATTCCTGCTGAGGCTCGCGACGCACCAAAGTCGCGCAAATTGGTAACCCTGAGGTCTCTGGGCTTCGCAGCCATCAGTGAACTTGATTGAAATCCTGTTTTTTCAAGCACAACCTAATCGGTACATCCATAGACAACATACATGCTTCCAGTCACATTGTCACAACCTAATCTAAATGCTTCCGAATTGGCATGCATAAACTACACCCGGTTTCCCATACCCACCAACAGCCACTGGCCCACCATGATTCCATTCCATTCCATCCCTCCAGAAAAGTTAAGCACGGCTAGCAGCAGCGACGCGGTGACAAAGGTGGCATGTGATCCACACGGCCAGGAGTCACACATGCGGCACGGGAACACCTTGCTTATGCTCCCGCGGCCCGAAGCTGCTTGCTGTGGTGACACTGGTGACACTCGCATTGCCAGGAAATCAGATCAATTGCGTGGAATGGTGCTGAATGGGGTAAGCAGGGGTCGAGCCTGACCCACTCCCCATGCTCTTCTGACCCACTCCCCATACTCCTCTGACCCACTCCCCATGCTCCTCTGACCCACTCCCCATGCTCCTCTGACCCACTCCCCATGCTCCTCTGACCCACTCCCCATGCTCCTCTGACCCACTCCCCATGCTCCTCTGACCCACTCCCCATACTCCTCTGACCCACTCCCCATGCTCCTCTGACCCACTCCCCAAGTGCTGCTCCACGTCCAACCACACGCCACCCCACCATGCTGCCGTGCCCGCAAGTGTGTGGGCAGGCAGGCATGCATGCAGGGCGGCACTGATGAGGCATGGCCTGCCCACCTGCCATCCATGCACCTGCTGCCGGCCCATTGCAGCATGGCAGCAGCAGCGCTGCTGGTAGTGCAGCAGCCGCACAGGCGAGGCACCAGTGCTTCTGATGTGGCTGTGAAGGCAGGGCATGGGCAAGGGTTGGGACATAAAGAGCGGACTTGATGAGATGGGTTGGGGCCCGAAAACACACATCCCAGAAAGCCTGGAACCGTCCTGAGTTACCCCACAAGGCCCAGTCTCTATCCAGCACAGGTACAAAGAGCCGCACTGAGTTAGCCCAGCATACACACTCATAAAGCCCACCGATTGTGTTGAGTTGCTGAGGAAGCGGAGGAGGCGGTCAGGGCCCCCAGGGGTGGTGTGCGTGCTGCATCCAGTGCCACGAGTTGGGCGCTGCTGCTGCCTGCGGGGGCTGCAGAGACGCCTGCGCTGCTGCTGCCTGCTGCTGTGGAGTGGCAGCAGCAGCGTACATGGCTGGCATGGGCGGGGGAGCAGCTCCTGTGTGAGCACTGCTGCCGGCTGGTGGTGGTGCTGAGGGCGCAGAGAAGGCGGAGGAGGCCATGACCTGATCCACGGCACCCATGCCCCTCTGCACCCCACCCCCATACTGCTGCCCCTCGTAGCCCGGCTGCTGCTGCGCATGCAGGTGAGGGAAAGGCAGCTGCCCGGCTGCAAGGGGTGCAGCAGAGGGGCCGGCGAAGAAGGAGTTGGGCGCCGCAGCTGCGGGTGGAGGGGTGTGGGTGAGGGACGCAGGCCACACCGCTCCCGCCCCACTCACATGCGAATAGCCACTCTGGTACTCGCTGCCTCGCACTGCCGATGGAGGCGCATGAGGGTGCAGTGCGAGTTGGTGCGCCTTGGCCAGCAGCGCACTCAGCTCGCGCTCACTCAACCCCGCGCCCAGCAGCGCCGTCAGGGCAGCAGAGCCACCAGCAGGCGCAGTGGCAGCAGCAGAAGGAGCAGGGGCGGGTGGGGCGGTGGCAGCAGCATGGAGAGGTGCAGCACCCCACAGCCCAGGCAGGTCAGCAGCCGGGTGGCCGGGCTGACCTGCTGCTGTCTCCATGTACCCGTGCGTGGGCGCATGGGCGGGGCCGTGGGTATGCGCCAGGCGGTGGCGGTCCTGCCCGATCACTCCTGCTCCCGATGGCACGCGCCGCAGACTGCCGTCCGCGGCAGCAGTGGTGGCAGGGGAAGCAGGCAGGGGTTGCAGGTTGGGCGAGGGTGCAGTGTGCATGGCAGGAGAGGAGGAGCGCGGGGAGGGAGAGGAGGAAGGTGGCAGGGAGGACAAGTGCGGTGCCGCGGCGCCACTGAGCCCTGCAAGGAAATCGCCACCCAACCCCTCACCTCCTGCTGCCAGCAGTCCTTGTGACACATGCCATGCACCCCCCTCCGCACCTGCCCTGCCCCCACCCCCTGCTGCCTGCACCCCTGGCGCTAGTTTATCGGCCGAATCAGTTGCCCTGGGAACAGCAGCAGCAGCAGCACCGGAGGCCCAGGGCTGGAACACAATCATCTCCTCCTCCTCCTCTTCCTCGTGCTCCTCCACCCCACCGTTACCAGCAGCGCCAGGCAGCACCCCATTGCGGCGCTCGGAGTGAGCGGCGTGGGTGTGTGCGCTGAGCCCGCGCATGTGCTGCTCACTCTGCTCCGCCGAGCTGTCCACGCCTATCAGGTCCTCCACCGCCCACAGCGGCACGTCCTCGCCATCCCCCTCCCCTTCCTCCTCGCCCTGCCCCTCGCCCTGCACCTCCACCCCTGCCATCCCCCCCGCAAGCCCTTTCCCTGCGCTTCCCATGCTTGCAGCACCCCAAGGCAGGGGCGCAGCAGACAGGTGGTGGTTGGACGCGGGTGCAGGGCGAGCAGGGCCGGCGGAGGGAGCAGGGGAGGCAGTGGTTAGTGACCCTGGTGCCGCCGTGTGTGCACTGCCCACGCTGTTGCCTTGCACCACGTGCGCACGATGTGGTGCAGTGGCAGCACGCGGTGAGGGCAGCTGATCCGCCACGAGTGATGTAATGAAGAATCTCCCATGCCGCCTGCTGAAATGCAACACGCTGCTGCTGCTGCCGTCCCCTGCCGCCCATGCTGCCCCACCTGCACCGCCTCGCACCCACCCAGACAGCGTCAGGGCAGCGCACACAGCCCTCCTGCCCCGCGCCCACACTGCCTCCTGCCCCTCCGCACCCCCCGTGCCGCCCTGCCAACCGTCCAAATCCAACTGTCCGTCCCTCTGCGCGTCACCGAGCCCATCACTGCACACATGCGGCAGCGGCTCAAAGCCCCGCAGCTCCACGTCCTCCCACAGCCCCGCTGCCCCGCCGCTGCTCTCCCCCTGCCCGCCCGCCGGGCCCTGCACGCCCCCCTGGTGCTCCGCCAGCAGCGGTGGCAGCAGGCGGCTGTGCTCCTGCAGCAGGCGGTTGAGCACCACCACGGCCTGCCCCCACATGAACATGCGCGCCGCACTCTCCCTGTCCTCGCCCCCCGCGCCCGCGCTCTCGCTTGCGTGTCCCCCTGGTCCCAACGCCTCATCGTTGGTGCTCGAGGCGAGGTGGGGGTGGGCGGCGAGCCAGTGCAGGAAGACGGTGGCGGCGGGGAAGAGCGGCGAGGCCAGGGGCGCGGGGGAGGCGGCGCAGCGGGAGAGCAGGCGGCCGACGAACTCAAAGGCGAGTGTGACGGCGTGGCGCAGGCGGTCCGCCTGCTGCTGCAGCTGCGCGCTGGACGGCGCGCTCGGGCTGCGCGTGTCGTCCGCGTCGCTGGCGGTGCGAGGGGCGAAGGGGAAGGGGTGGTGCGGGGCGAGCATGGCGTGCACGGTGCACACCAGGCATGCCACCATCTGCACCACCACTGTGGCCTCCGCGCCCGCGGCGGGGAGAGTGGGGCACGCGGAGGACCCCACCGCCAGCACGGCTTGCAGGGCGTGTGGCGGCGCAGCGAGCAGGCGCTCCAAGTCGTTCATGGCGGCCAGATACACGGAGCCGAAGGACTCGAGGCTGCACTCACACCACGCACACCACGCACAAGAGGAAACAGAGGCACACACACACGATGAGAGGAACGTGAAAAGCTGGGCCTGAGGACAGTGCAGGAGGCGAAGCAAGCAGATTGAGGTAAGAGAGGGAGAGGGAGAGGAGAGGGAGAGGACCTGGCGTGTGTGAAGAGGATGCCGTTGAGACGCACGAATCGCGTGCACAGATTCTTCCACGTCACCGCCAGTGCCTCAGCGGGCGCTCCTTGCGCTCCTTGTGCCTGCCCCGTTGCCTCCTGCGCCGCCCCTTGTGCTGCTTGAGGCCCCGCCGCACCCAGGCGATTGCAGCGATTGGAGTTCTGCACGACCAAGAGGCAGGGGAGAATGGAATCACTTGGTGTCATAACCTGCTTGAGATCAACTCCCTCGTCCCATACAGACGCCACCCTTCGCCCCGCTCACATCACTCCCACACTCCGCTGCGCACACACAGACTCAACGTGTGCGCACAAACGCGAGAAGCACACGTGGCACGCCCTTGGACAATGGAGACGGGGGGCGAACGGCCTGGTGGCGCAGCGGCAGCCGGGCAAGGCGAGGCTAGGCAAGGCTCGGCTCGGCTGGGAGGAGCGCTGACCTGGTCGAAGAGGACGAGCAGGTTGGTGCGGCCAGTGGCGAAGGGCTGCTTGCAGGCGATGCAGCGGTAGTAGCGGTACAGCGCCGCCACCTCGCTGCCTGCATACGTCGCCAGCACTGCCAGCTGCCCCGCCGTGCAGAGAGAGAACAAGGCGGTGGAGAGAGGCAACAGGGCGGTGGAGAGAGACAACAAGACGGTGGAGAGAGACAGATGAAAGCACACGTGGGGAGAGAGGAAGAGAGAGGACGAACGCAGGTTGCGAGAGGCATGGAGAGGCACAGGAAGGCAGTGGAGCAAAGGCTGAAAACGGGAGGCAGTGGAGCAAAGGCTGAAAACGGGAGGCAGTGGAGCAAAGGCTGAAAACGGGAGGCAGTGGAGCAAAGGCTGAAAACGGGAGGCAGTGGAGCAAAGGCTGAAAACGGGAGGCAGTGGAGCAAAGGCTGAAAACGGGAGGCAGTGGAGCAAAGGCTGAAAACGGGAGGCAGTGGAGCAAAGGCGGAAAAGGAGATTAGGGTTCGGAAGGTGGGTTATGGGGGGCACCTGGTTGTGCGGGTTGCCAGTGGACGGCAGCATGAGCGCCGCTTGCATGTAGTAGCCAGCAGCCACCGACCAATCACGGGTCGCCATGTCACCATCGACAACGAGTTCCCGGTAGCGCGCGAGGTCGCCCAGGTACACGAGGCACTGCTGGCACGCCGCGCGCCACTTGTCGCTGTCGCCCGCCCTGCCCTGCTGAGACTGTGAATCTGCGACGCCGCGGTCGCACAGCAGGGCGCGGCGCGCCTTGAGCTTGCCGACGAGCTCGTGGAAGAACCCCGCCGCCTCCGACAGAAACCCGCGGTACACCGCCACCGCGCTCGCCGCCGTCGACGCTTCCGCGCGCTCGCCCGTCCCGTCGGACGCGCCTTGCGGACGCGCTTGCGCACGACGTGTGGCGGGGGACCCGCGGGAGAGGATCGAGACGGACGCGGGCTGGCGATCTTGCGCGGAACCCGCCTTGGACGTGGCTGGCGCGGAACGGATGCGGCGGATCTGCGCGCGAAACTCCTCGATGCGACTGTAGTGCAGGCGCCATAGCAGGTAGAGCACGTCGTGATCGACGGCGAAGCGGAAGTCGAGAAAGAGCAGCGCCTCATACGAGTCGCGGATCACCGCCCGCAGCTGCTGCACCGTCGCGTTCCGGGGGCTCTTGCTGGCCAGCAGCGCGCGCAGCTGCTGCTCCTGCTCGCCCACCTGCACACGGCGCACGCATGGCGCGTCAAATCGGCTGTAGGGCAAAGGAAGGATAACAACCAACGCGGATCCAAACAATACGACAGGACCACCGTACCTTCAGCCATCGCCTGCGCACGTCCGGTTGAACCTGAGAAGCTTGGGAATTTGATGCGTTGCCGGTCATCATCCATCATGCTACGCTAAATATCTCGTGATTACCCGGCGCGCCAAAGATGGTCAGCGTTGACGATTAGCTATGGAAAGAGCAGAGCTGAGAACATTCCGATTCCCCAACACGAGTGAATGGAAGAGTGGGTGGGGTGGGATGCACGACAATCTCCTTCCGTGCTTCAGAACTCACTTCGCTCGCCTCATCCAATCATCACCCACCACTATGCACCCCCAGGAAAGACTGCCGAGATTTTGTTTGAATGCTGCGTTCTAAATTGGTCCAACAGATATCCAGAAAGGTTGGTATGTTAGGGCTTGCACAAATACACGTATTTGAGAAATTCCAGCTTGGTTCAGGCTCAAAGAAAAGTTCGGTGCCCGCAATGAAGGGTGTGTTGCCCACAAATGCTAAGGAAGCGCATGGATCCCTACATGCGTACGGAAAAACATCGAACGACCTGAATGTTATTGCATATTTGGTGGCCCATGCTCAAATACACAAACCGGAGCGATTTCAGCTTGGTTCGTGCGCGAAGAAAAGTTCCGCGCCTGCGATGAAGGCCGTGTTTGCCGACAAATGCTAAGGAAGCGCATGAATCTTTACATGCGTAGGGAAAAGCATTGAACAACCTGAATGTTATTGCATATTCGGGTGGCCCATGCTAAAATGCACCTACCAGAGCAATTTCAGCTTGGTTCGCGCTCAACAAAATGTTCGGCGCTTACGATGACGAGTGCTTTTGCCGACAAATGCTAAAGAAGCGCATGGATTCCTACAAGCGTAGGGAAAAACATCGAACGGTCTGAATGTTATTGCATATTCGGGAAACCCATGCCCAAATACACATCTCAAATCAATTTCAGCTTTGTTCGTGCGAAAAAAAAAAAAACAAAAATTGGGCGCCTGCGATGACGGCTGTTTTTTCATACAAATGCTAAGGATGCGCATAGATCCCAACAAGCGTAGGAAAAGCATCGAACGAACTGAATAAAATTGCATATTCTAGTGGCACATGCTCAAATACACCTATCAGAGCAATTTCAGCTTGGTTCGTGCGCAAAGAAAAGTTTGGCGGCTGCGATGACGACTGTTTTTGCAGACAAATGCTAAAGAAGCGCATTGATCCCTACAAGCGTAGGAAAAAACATCAAACGACCTGAATATTAGTGGATATTCGGGTGGCCGATGCTCAAATACACATATCAGAGAAACTTCAGCTTGGTTTGTATGCAAAGAAAAGTTCGGTGCCAGCGATGACGGCTGCGTTTGCCGACAAATGCTAAGGAAGCGCATGGATCCCTACATGAATAGGGAAAAGCATCGAACGACCTGACTGTTATTGCGTATTCGGGTGGCCCATGCTCAAATACACCTATCATAGCAATTTCAGCTTGGTTTGCGCGCAAAGAAAAGTTCAACGCCTGCGATGACGGCTGTGTTTGCCGACAAATGCCAAGGATAGCATGGATGCCTACATGCGTAGGGAGAATCATTGAACGACCTGAATGTTATTGCATATTCGGGTGGCACATACTCAAATACACATATCAGAGCAATTTCTGCTTGGTTCGTGCGCAAAGTGCACATGTGCAGGAAGTGCAGCGGGCGCTCTTCATTCGCGAGCGCCGATTACCGATGATGCTTGCAACCCTCCCACGCCCTTGCTGGATTGGTAATAGGCCCAGACAAGCGCAGCCACGTGACCAAGGGGAAGAAAAACGCTCGGAACGAGCGCTTCCACCCCCAAAACGCGGAAGGATCCGCACATGTGCAGGAAGTGCAGCGCGCGCTCTTCATTCACGAGCGCCGATGACCGATGATGCTCGCAACCCTCCCACGCCCGTGCTGGCTTGGTAATACGCCCAGACAAGCGCAGCCACGTGACCAAGGAGAAGAAAAACGCTCGGAACAAGCGGTTCCACCCCCAAAACGCAGAAGGATCCGCACATGTGCAGGAAGTGCAGCGAACACTCTTCATTCGCGAGCGCCGATGACCGATGATGCTCGCAACCCTCCCACGCCCTTGCTGGCTTGGTAATAGGCCCACACAAGCGCAGCCACGTGACCCGGCGGAAGGAAAACGCTAGGAACGAGCGGTTCCACCCCAAAACGCGGAAGGATCCGCACATGTGCAGGAAGTGCAACGGACGCTCTTCATTCGCGAGCGCCGATTACCGATGATGCTCGCAACCCTCCCACGCCCTTGTTGGCTTGGTAATAGGCCCAGACAAGTGCAGCCACGTGACCCAGCGGAAGAAAAACGCTCGGAACGAGCGTTTCCACCCCCAAAACGCGGAAGGATCCGCACATGTGCAGGAAATGCAGCGGGCGCTCTTCATTTGCGAGCGCCGATGACCGATGATGTGTGCAACCCTCCCACGCCCGTGATGGCTTGGTAATAGGTGTTAGAATCTAGAATAGAACGAGAATGAATGACTAAGGGAAAGTTGGGTACAAATGTAAACCCTAGAAAACTGTACCCCATATGTGCTACCCCACTATAGCCTACAGTAGCTATGTCATATAAATCTGACACACCCCCATAGGCAAAGTGGGGGAGAACAAGGGGTCACAAGACCAGTCAAGCAAAGCAAAGCAAGCTCAGGGTGGATCACAAAGTCACCACACATTCCGAGCACAAGTTCAAGGCCACAAGGCCAGTTCACATGCAGGATTACATATATATATAAGGCTAGACAAGCAAGAGCAGGTGTATATATATATGCAACAGTAACAAGGTCAAGGGGTGAGCAAGTGAGGCAAGGTAGGCACAAGACCCAGCTGAGTACAGAAGCGCTGATGATCACAAGGCGCAAGTGCCTTGGTGAAGATATCAGCAGTGTTGGCCTGAGAGGCCACGTACGCAAGCCGCAGCTGACCACGCTGCTGTAGCTCACGAGCAAGGAAGTAGCGGAGAGTAATGTGCTTCGTTCTGTGCTCCAGTCTCTGCTCTCGACACAAGGCCAGCATGGCCTTGTTGTCTACGTACAGCACTGGAGGAGAACGAGGCGGCTCTCCGAGGTCAGTCAGCAGGTAGGTGAGCCAGCGAAGCTCCTGTGCAGCCATGGCCCCGGCGTAGATCTCAGCCTCACAACTGGAGCCGAGAACAGAAGACGAGCGGGTAGCCCGCCACGAAACAGAGCCGGAACCAAGGCTGAAGGTGTAACCCTGTGACGACCGCTGCGTAGCCTGGTCGTCAGCCCAAGAAGCGTCTGCGTGCCCAGTGAGGACCACTGGACTCTGCCCTCCAAGCACAAGCCCCATGCCCGACGTACTGCACAAGTAACGCAACACCCTCTTCGCTGCAGCCATGTGCTCCGGTCTGTGTCTCCCAGGAGCAACATAGCGTGCGAGAATGCTAAGAGGGTATGCGAGGTCAGGTCGTGTGCAGGTCATCAGGTACATGAGGCAGCCAACAAGCTCTGGGTACGGGCCACTCGACTCTACGGACTCATCCGAAGGCAGAGCTGAGAGCGAGTGGCGAGTAGGCAGAGGAGTGGCCTGAGGCGAGGAGTACGTGAAGCCGAAGCGCTGAAGGACCTGCTGCACCATGTGTGACTGAGTCAGGGTAATGGTGCGGCGTGCTCTGTCCCGGGTGATCTGCAAGCCAAGGTAGCTGCGCAGTTCACCCAGGTCTGTGCACGTGTGTCTCTTCTGCAGCTCGGACTTCACGTGGGCGAGTCCAGCAGTGTCAGCCGTGGCAAAGACCAAGTCGTCGACGTACACGAGGATGTAGAACGACGGCAAAGAAGTGTCGGTGCGCAGAAACAGCGACGGGTCGGCAGTAGAGGGAGCAAACCCAAGAGCCGCAAGTGTAGTCCTCAGTGTGTCGTGCCACTCACGCGGTGCCTGGCGGAGACCGTAGACTGGTCGCCGGAGGCTCCACTGGGTGCCAGGAGGAAAAGACCCAGTGAAGCCAGGTGGGCGACGCAGCCAGATCTCCTCGTGCAGGCTGCCCTGCAAGAAAGCAGTGCTGAAGTCAAGAGAGTGCAGCTCGTAGTCGCGGTGAGCAGCTATGTGCAGCAGTACCCGAAGAGTGGTCATCTTCGGGGTGGGAGAGAAGGTCTGAAAGTAGTCAACTCCCTGCCGCTGACTGAAGCCACGAGCCACGTAACGCGCCTTGAAGACAGGCGGAGAACCCGGCGGTCGCTTCACCCTGAAAATCCACATGCCACTGACGATGTTCGCCCCAGGCGGGGGAACCTCGTCAACGTAGGTGCCTGTGGACTTCCAGGAAGCCATCTCTGTGTCCATAGCTGCCTGCCACTGAGAGGAGTAGGGACCCTCTATCGCCTCCGCGTAAGAGCGCGGAGTCGGGATGTCAAGTGCATCCGGGTCTCCCTCAGGGGTAAGCAGTACGGACACGAGATGAGGTGAAGCAGCAGCCAAACACTGGAACTCCTCCTGCCTGTCCTCAAGGACGTCCGTGCCAAGGGCACACTCACCCCCGACGGACGGAGGACAGACAGACTCAGACTCAACGACAAGACTAGCAGCGTAGTCTAGACGACAGCGAGCAGCAAAGTCGACGAGCTCAGCAACTAGGGCAGACACAGCAGTGGACTCAAAGGAAGGGTCAGTGATGACAGTAGCAAGGAGACGCGTGACAGTAGGACTGGCAGCACGAAGAGAGTCCGACTCCGGGTCGGGAAGAGCAGGAAGAGAGGACTCAGGAGGAGAAGGCAAAGGGGCACGCAGAGGAGCAGTGGACGGACGCAGAGACATCCGGTGCGTGCCAGGGACAGGAGGAGGACGCTGACGCGAACCACGACCACTAGAGCGAGCAGGACGGACAGGCGACACAGGGCGAGACGCAGGCTCACGACGCTCAGCCAGACCTCCAGTAGGACCAGTGTAGGGAGAAGGAGCGGGCAGTGGGGAGGCCGGCTGGAACTGTAACTGTGACGGGACAGGCTGTGGACACTCTAAGGGAGGAGGAGGACCAGTAGAAGG